CATACATATATAAAAATGTTTAATGATAATATTAATTATGGTAAGGGCGGCAGGAGCCTTTGACGAATTTTTTAACGATATTTCAATGTGTTTGCACTTGGATGGAAAAGAACAAGAATGCAACTTTGAGTATTGAATATCGACAAATTTAATTATCGTCAAATAATAATTAAATTTGTCGATATTTAAAGTTGTGTTCTTATTATTTTCCATCCAAGTGCAAACATATTCAAATATCATAAAAAAAATTGTCAAAGGCTCCTATCGTCCTTACCATAATTAACATTATCGTCCTTATACAGAACTTTCACCTAATATAATAATAAAAATTATTATACTTGTGGCAAAAATTAAATTTTTAAAGAAGAAATAAATCTTGATTGATTCCGTCTCGCAAAAAAAGACAAGGCTTAAATAGTCCTTAAGCAATATACATGTTAATTAGATTCATGTAACATGCATTTAAATGCTATTTCAAATGTATCAATGAAATTTAGATTTCGCGAAAATGAGAAGGCTCGTATCAAAAAGGTACTAATGACAATCATAATGAGTGCAAAATATAATTAATGTGAGAAAGTGTTCTTACACGATTCGTGCTTATCTTAACGCGATCTTATTGCGCTTTTAATGTGTCTCGTGTCGAACTTGATGCAAATATTATATTACCGTGTATGCAAAATAACACTTTCGCCGTTTACCTTTACACGAGTATTACATAGATCACTTGATATTACAGTGCTTGGTGCGCTTTCCAAGCAATTTCTTGTGACTCTAAAGTGAGAAAGTTTGCGATTGCATGGTGTTTCTAGTAATAAATGCGATATTATACAATTCTTAATTTAGATCGTAATAACCGAATTATTTAATTCTGCTAATAAAACATGGTTAACGCGAAACCAGCTTTGAATAAAATGCTCGTTAATAGTTTCTGAAATCGATTTTCGAAGTTGTTACGATGAGTACGTCAAGAGTAACGAACTACATGATCGATATCCCATCGTGTAGAAAATTCCAAGCACGAAATTGGATAACTTTCTCTAAACAATCGTATACTGTTGATCGTGCTATAAAAAACAGTGCAAGAGAAAATGACTATATCCGTTAATTCATTATGGCGCTTATGTCGATTAATTTCTTTCGACAATATGCCATTTTCTAAATGAGATGAGTACCTAAGTAGCCAGCCAACCGTGACATTTTATAATAATAAAAACATGTTTTCGAAAGCGTTGGACCTCGAGTTGAATCATGCGTGACAATTCAAATAGCCTTCGTGTAACAAGTAAAAGTGCCATGTCTTTCTCCGTTTAACGCAATTTTAACATTTCTCAAAATAACTTTGAGTGGTCTTTTATTTATCAGAATTCTAAGTCTGGGCTTAATTAATTGGGAAAATATTTCAAAGAATGTACTGACATTTTAATTTAAATTTACAATTCATACGCATTAAAGAAAGATTGTCCAAAATTAACGAGAAAAAAAAACTCGGACTTTCTATCAGTATATAGGTTGTCGAAGACATTCTGTGAATTTATAGAATCACCTGCTTCACGCATGCGACAAAAAGATCTCTATGATCGATCGAGAAGAAAAACTTTCTCGACACAATAGAGTGTCACATTGAAAGTACAAGATCCGGAATAGCAATCACAGGAAGAACAGCATGTTGATCATCTGTTAACCCGATAAGTATAGCGATAGTATACACAGTGTCTTATGTTTTCCTTACTTCCTTGGACTTAAATCTCTGATGAAAATTTAAAGATAACTTTTTTTAGACAAAAATGATCGTTTTCAAAACTTTAAATATCTTCACATAACGAATGTTTGGCTAAAAAGAATCAATCTTGTTGAGAAACAGAGTCCGTTTCAAATGAAATGAAGTTCAAGCCGTGAAGTCTTCGAAAGTTCATCGCACGAAAGCTATCGGGATCGCAACACCTTTTAGGGAAGATACTTGAGTTGATGAGAAAATAATTAGACAGAAGAAAGTGCGGTGAACCTGGAACACCTTGTATACCGTAATACAAGTGTGCGATGCTGCGTGTAATCTATTGACCGAGAGTAAAGCCGCGCTCTCTCACACGGACGCAGAGGAGGAGCTCGGCTGGCCGACTTCTTCCTTCTCTCCGGTACGACACGCTTATCCACCAACCCGATGACGGTCCTCTTTTCTCGGTCACGGCTGCATGAGGGGGAGATCCCGTGTTCCTACATTATCCCCACGTGGACCATGCGGGGAGGCTCTTGGTCTCCTACCACTACGAGAGAGCTAACGTTTTGCGCCAGTTCAAAGAGCAGATCGGCAGCAGGTGGATTTGACGAACGGACATTGGTACCGAGAGATCCTTCTATAACGAAGATTCTTCGTATTTCTTAGATGTGGTCCGACAGTCGTTAAAAAGACTCCGCAAGCGCAACCTGAGCGAGCACAGTTGAGTATTTAATGACATTGCTTCATGTTGGTGCTGAAAGATTATTGCTAAATTGTTACAGTGGTAGTGACAGTGGAAACCGTGATAATTATAAATTAGTTGATACTGAAACTGTTGATGAGTCTTAGTGGTTTGATAGGATGAGGATAGGACGGTCGTACTGGGTGCTGCTGGTAAGATTTAATTTGTCTTTCGATGCTACATAATTTTTGTGTAAATGGTTGAAAATTATGAAATTTCTTATCTCTTATTAACTGTTGCTAATTTTTTCATCATTTTGTAGCTTTTAGAGTCTTAATACTTATTTAATCGCGCGTTAATTATTCAAAAACGAATGGACGAGGAACTTCATTTTTTATGTAAAAATATCTAAATTTCTTTCTTCTTTTTAAAAAGTTGCATTTAAGCCAATTATTAAAGAAATAATTATCGGTGTCATTTTACTATTTCTTTATTAATAACTACATTAAAAGATAATTTCATTAGCTGTTAATTTTCGAATCGACGTTAACTTGTTCTCGAAGCCGAATGAATGAAGTTCCTCGTTCTTTCAGTTTATTGACCGCGTGATGCTCTCTGCGTCAGTTTACCTGATTCAAAGTGGAACAACCTTTGTTGCGACCTTGATCCAGCCGCTGGTCGGAATGAGGAAAAGTAATAGATGCTTCACACATGCACTGAAATATCATGTTCGCTCTCGCGCGAGAATTCGCGAAAGGCTTTAACACGATAAATATGGAAACTGACTCGAAATACCTGTCACGAAATGCTCAAACGTAGTCACGCGAGTTTATTCATTGCCAGAGAACCCATTGAATGCGTACACAGTAAAATCATCGGGTCGACGGTTATTAGGTCGTTACATAAATATATGTATAATAACGGCACGATAGCTTTTTAATTCCAATAAGATCGTATTAAAGAGATATAAGAAAATATTATAATAAATACACCAACTGTACAAAGTGTCATTTTCTTTTTTTTAAATTTTTCAGTCTAGATTCTTCATTCTGATAATAAGTGGGAGCAAGAAGTAGCTTGGCCCTCGATAAAAATTAAAAAATTGACTGATCTTCCTTTCTCGGGTAATTTCTAACTTTTATAAATTTGCTTACAAGTGAGCAGCACCGTACGACTTATTTTCACACACATTTCACCAAATTAGAAAGAAATACATTTTTAATGACTGGATAATAATCGAGGCATTCATGTTCAAGAGAGAAGTGGATTCTCTTGGGGTTGGAAGCGCATATTGCATCGCGTGATGTATCGTGGTTAAAGGATTCTCACGAGCGTAGTTGCATCCTGCATTTGTTGCTCGATCGTATTTTAGCGAAACTAGCTGCCTTTGTTAGAGTATCGAAAAGAGATATTCTTGCATGTACGAAGCGGTTTTGTTCCATTAATTATTAGAGCACAATAAGAAATTAATAAGCGTTAATTATGAGAACGATGATCCGATCTATTAATATTGATGAGAAACTTAAGCACCGATAAATATAATATTAACCCCCCTCATTCATTAATACGCCGAGTATAAATGTACGTTCGCGGCTAATAACTAGCTTTCGACATAATTATCTCTTACTCATGATAATTAACTCGTTTAGTTGAAAATAATTAAATTGGAGAATAAATTCATCACGTCGCCCAATTACAGGCTGCCAAGAGTCAGGTTAAATGAAACTTACGGTCGTTTACTTTCACTAAATCCAAGTCTTGGCAAAAATTATATTCATATAAATTACATATTGAAGTTATCGAGCGAGATCTTATATTTACCGAGTCATTTAAATTTGCATAAGTAATACTTTCGCGACGAGATATTAAGGGGCTCCCTTTTCGACGATTGCGCAGAATCGCACTGCGATCTCTTGCATCCTGCAAAAGCTCATTGCAGCCACTGTGCGCTTCCGGTGCAACGAACGTAAACGTGCAGCCGACGTTTCTCCGGACAGGCTTCCTTCTTGTAAAAAAAAAGAGAAGAAGAAAGATCTCTTGCGCGATAATCGGTCCACGTTCTTGGCAAACAAGAGATACGTGTAACGTAATTTACGCTTCCTTGCAGTTCACTCGCGGCTATGTATAGCGGCTTTGCACGCTCGTTACGATTGTTCTTTCCGGAAGTTGCATTTTATTGTCTCCCTGAACCACACGCGCCGTTTTCACTCGCGATTCAATTAAATCGGCGTCTCGCGCGCGACGCCCACTAATTAGCGATACCAGAAGTTAATTAACATGCTCTTTAATTCGCTTATGAAAATTTATATTTTGGTTCGCACCAGCCACGACTTCCTAGCTAACTGTTAATTATAATTTACCGTATTAATAAGATTTAGATAACATCCATTTAACACTTCGGACAATTAATTAATTAGGCAGGTAGCGGCATAATAATGCATAATGTAATCCCAGATTTAGTAATACATTGCATATAATGCTTTACAAGATGTAATTATTAAGTTAGCTAATAATATTATCCACGGCCATTATAAAAATTGTGTATCGCAATATGCGGCGTGCAACTTTTGGTTTCATCTTTTAGGCAGTTGTGCTGTCTCCAATCCATGCCGAGAAGAACAACACCGACAATGTCGGCAATGTCGACAACAGCGAGAAAGTTCAGGGGACAATATCGACGTCCCTCAAGCTCACTGATGAAAACGTCAAAAACAGAACGAGCAAAGTACGAGAAGTAGTGGCATCCGTGAGTGAGCACGTTTGCATGAAGAACTTTCGAATGACATTTATTTAATATCGTTTCTTTAGTTTTCATGAGATATGAATTGTGTAAAGTACGAGTATAAATCTTTATAGGAATGTAAAATTTCTATAAATCTTTATAGAAATGTGAAGTTTCTATAAATCTTTATAGAGCTATGAAAAATATTTGCGATACATTTGGTTGCTGACTTATAAATTAATCTTAGGCGTTACATTCGCTTAAATATAACCAATAATCAGCAATACATTTTGGTATCTTATCAATTATTTTATTTAAATCTCTGTAAGAGACTAATCGATAAAATGAGATATTCGGAGAGTACGTGTCTTCTGTAGTCATTGATTTCACATAAATGAAACTAATCTCCTTTGTCCTTTTTCTAGGCGATGAAAACGCCGGAGAAGCGAGAACAAATCGGCGAAGTAATACCAATAATACGTAGCATGTCGCCACCGCAAAAGCTGGCGATGGCGACGTTAATTTCGACGAGAATATCCAGTAACGACACGACCTCACCGCCACTTGAGGAAGTCCGGTCACTTCTCGGCGGCGGAAACAGAGAAAACGCGAGCAGGGAACTGATGCTGCCGATCAGTATGGACATAGCGAAGATCATATCCAACGATTCCGACTCCGAGGAGAGCGAGGACTCGGACTCGGACGAGGTGCCCGAAGCGTTACCTGAAGTGAGTTAAACGCGCGTGCAGATAAAAAAATGACATTATTATCTTTATACGTTGCGCGCGTGATCGTGCATAAATGATCTATCGCGTCGACTTTTTCCCGCTATCGGAGAACGGTAGAAAGTCGAGTTTGACATGTCCACTTGTCGTAAATTTCAACGAGATTTATCCCACCGGTTAATAAATATGTATATTTTCCCTAGCAGACGAGTTTCTCACGGCGCGATGCTTGTAAATATCGGCTTTTATGCATGTAATCGCTAATAAATTCGAGCTTTACGGCGATTTCTAAACCATCAAGCTAATGTCTAAAATGGTATCTGCCATATAAATATGATATGTAGATTCCCTTGATTAGTTTTATGCAGATTCTAAATCGACGTATCATTCATTTTTACTTCCGACCGCTGGATTGAACCGTAATTGAAAATCCTTATATTATAGTCATTGTTTGATTATTTTAACACATTTTAAACGTATTAAAAATTATTTTATATGTATATATTTATTTATATATAAATTAAGTTTATAAATTTACAAAATCCTATTATGCAAAAACTCATATTTTTATGTACAAATCATTTATATGCATTTTACAAATTTTATCGTACCAAATCAGCATACACATGTATGTTGAAAATTGTTGATCTTGCGTTCTTTTTCCTCGTAAGTTTCACCGTGTATTTGAATTTACCTCTGGCTTATGTAACATGGTATATTAAAGGGTATAACATTGGTCGAATCTTCATTCAGCATATACTTAGATATTGCGACATTGTCGGATTTAGAACAAGCGCACCGTGTGGTTTCACTTGTGGCGGCGGCCTTTATAAGCAACACCTTTTATGCAAGTACTTTCACGCGTTCGACATATTTTATTACGACGACTCGTCGCAAGGACCATCTCTTGAATCTCGTGAGTGGTGATGTCGCGGTTACTATACACCATCAGATATATCGCGCGAGAGAACGACTTTCCATTCCGGACATTAATTAGCGAGCGACTTGAACGGATATAGGCGGATGTTGATTTATTCTACGTGGGAATAGATAAGCTACGGTAGTACAATGAGCTTCTCTTATGGAAAGTGATCGGTATAAGATAAAACACCGATTTGAAGCAGAACCACTTCATTATTTTCTTCCCCGACACTCGACGACACATTCGTTTATTTCGGCATAGAATTCTGTATTATATTTAATTGCTACGTTAATAGATCTAATGTCTTTTCAATCTGCGACGATTTTAAACGCGCGTTACATAGAGCGCACTCGGTGCAGGCAATGTCTCAAGTATACTTGAGTAAACGATCATTAAGATCAGCGTACGCGGACAATACTTGTAGGCGTTTAAAAGGAATATTTCACAAATTTTATGTTTGCACGCCAAAGTGCGATTACGAATTGATCGCACCTCGTTAAAATTAGCGACAAAAGTGACGAATTAGGCAATATTATATATTGATATTAATCAGCCGAAGAAGGGAAATAAAGATGGGTCTCTAAAAGGATCTTGTAAATTTAATAATATACGAATAATGTGATAATGTGACAATGAGAATTTTTATAAAACAAGTGTTTCGGAATTACAGGCCCAAGAACTGCGGTTAGTGAGGCCTCAAGATCGACGGCGACCCGTGTTCGTGAAACCAGTGCGGCCCGTGAGACCGTCTCTTCCGAACAGGCGGAACGTTTACACAGGTCAGTTTTTTCACGGTAATCGACAAATCGTAAATTGCGTCGGATAAAAGTGGCACGGGCCGAGACAGATCGTGGATGATTTCCGCAGGTTTATCGAGGCCGCCTGTCATGCGACCGTCTAAGCGGCCGAGTGAGCCGAAGAGGAGGCCCTCGGAAAACGAATGCACTTTCTTCACAAAGACGGTGTGTCTCGAGGCCAACGATTATCCGCAGTGAGTCTGCCCTGAACTTTCGTTTTGGCATTGAATTAATGACGAACATTGTTATGCGGCAATTTGCATACGGCCGAGATTAAAATCTCCCGGTCCATCTTAATTGGCGAGACGGCGGTTTTCACTTTCCGCGTCTCTCCTTCTCGAGAGTATTATTAAACTAACGGGGAATTGTAGAGATAAATAAAGCATTGACCGTATTAAGGCCTGTGACCGCGATGCTAGAACTTGGTCCAAGTTCGCGTGGACGCAGACCTTAAAAGAACTTAATTACAAGAGTTAGCTTGAGTTAGAGCTAGTAGAGTTGGATAGCACGTTGTTACAGAATTCTTGAAATAGTTTTTTTAAATTTGATAAATTATCTTCTTTGCAAATAAATAATTTGCACTGACGTGCTACAGAGCCAAGTATTGAGCAATTGCAATATCATTTCGCTGGTATTTCCTCTGCTAAATTCCTCTGAAATTGTCATTACCCGAGTCTACATCATTCTTAGTCTTTCAAATAAGTAACGAAATACGCATAAAAGAAATTTTCCAGACTAGTAAAAATATCACTATTATTCGCTTTCGCGAAAAAGTATTAATAACGACTTTAACTTTCTAGCGAGGCGATAATAAGAAGTTTAAGATCCAATAAGGAAATGGTATCCGCATTGTTGACCGATTACAAGGCGCAAGACGGAAGCGCGGAAGAAAAATTGCCGAGTGCCCTATCGTTGGAGAATAAATTCGAGAACAGATATGAGAGCAATGAAATTAAAAGGTAAATTAAAGATCCGTGTTTCTACTCATCTTTTGAAAAGCGCCAAGCTTTATATTGCAGCGTATTTTAATTTTAAATTTCTATTAACTTTAAATAAATAAAAAATGAGCGTGATTAATTAGAAGCATCTAAAAATGATTTTCTCGCACGTTCCATATCAATGCATATTTTTGCTCTTGATGTAGACGATCTGACAATCCCTTCGACAACGTGGAGGAGGGTTTCACTTGTCCGTCAACTGTCAAATACGCTCGCCCGCAATTAGCGAGAGCTGCTTCTGGAGTATGGAAATACATTATAAACACAGGTGAACACACCCAGACGATACGACTGGAGAAATGCTCGTAAGTGTGGCAACCAGTGTTTATTTTATTCAAAGAAGGGAGAGTAATTTATTTGGGCGTTAATTATCAATTTACGTAATATCCCGTTCTCAAAGTCTTAAGTTAATATTTGCCTGTTATAAATCATTATCTTACGTAAAATGTGGCTTGTAGTAAAGAATTATAAAACGTTAATTACGAATTAAAATTCACATATGTATACACGTAGATATATAATTTCTTCTTACGACTGAAAAAAAAGCTACATAGACATTTTGTAATAATATATAATTTTCTTTTTAATGTTTTTTGTTCTTTTTAATACCATTAAATAACATTTTAATAACATTTCATGTTTTTCTCACAGCAATCCACAGTCAAGTTGCTCGTTTATCTCCGAGAACTACCGTTCCTCCTGCGTGCAAATCTACAACTATCACAGACTGCTGACTTGGGACCAGAAACTAGGACTACACATGGACATATTCAAAGTTCCGACCTGCTGCAGCTGCCACGTGCACGGCTATTCCGAGATTTTCCCGCCGCATCAGAAGGATCCCCCGATGAAGCCCAAGGAGACGTTCCCGGGTGCGGATTTCGCGACGATCAACGATCACAAGGATGACTTTCAGGATCTCAACAAGCCCGTTGTCCTCAATCATATTACCAAGTACACTCCCACCTTGAGCTACGATTCCATCCACGGTACTTTACTTCAGAATTATTCGCCGTCGTCCACGACTTTGAACGACTTCAGAGAATACTCGTTTCCTTCAGTATCCAGCAACAAGAAGCCGACGCTGGAGGTCAGTCCAACGAGTAGACCCAGCTTTACTCTATTTAATAGAACTAGACCGAAGAAGCCCGCGTCGATCCCACGGCCATACGACAAGTTGCCGCAACAGCACGCGCCCAATACCCGAGCACCCGGCTACAAAGGTCCATTGACCAAGAGCAGCAGGCCCAACCGACTCAACAGGCCACCTTTCAGACGAGAATCTACCGCCCACGAGGATTACACGGAGACTTCTCGTAACAGCACGGCCAACCGGTGAGTAGCGTGCAACACTTTTATTTTTAATCTGTTTAGTATCTTTTAACAGATTTTTTTCTTTATAAAACACTTTGCTAGAGAATAATCGCTGTTAGATTATAATACCTAGAATTGATGGGAAACGTCAACTTTGTCTTAGTATTAAAAATTTTAGAAGCTGAAGTTAATCTTTAAAAAATTAAAAGAACAAAATGTTACTAAGAAACGTCACTTTTTGTCTTAGTATTTAAAATTTTAGAAGCTGAAATTAATCTTTAAAAATTACAAGAACAAAAAACTATAAAATTAATCTTGTTGAAATTTATTTGAAATGTCTAGTCAGAAATAATTTTCCAGGTACAGTCAGCCGTTCGACCAGGACGTGGATGCCACGTCGAGACTGCAGAACGGAGGCTTCGACGACGAATACCAGGAGCCGCAGAGGAGAATCAACTATAACTATCACCCAATTATAGACTTTTTCAAACCGGAAGCTTCCATGCTGCAATCCGCGGAACCACAACTTGCCACCCAGTCGGCACCGGTTCAAAGCGACAATAACGCGTGGAAACCGATGATATCTTAGATCGTAGTGTTCTTTCTTCGGAGTACCTGACATTCTACTGTAATGAAGATTCCAAATCACGTATTTCGCGAGACTCGCGTTTCTTACATTAATATTTACAATCGTGAGAGAGTATTATTTCCTAGAGGAACGCATCCGTGTTCCGTGCGCTAACATGTTCATTATTTACGAGCCTTTTTAAGGCTCTTTTGAGTCGAGTTCAAACGAAAAGGAAAAAAAAGATCCAAAATTTAATTAAAATTATAAGTAAAACCTAGCTATACGTTTATCTGATATGTAAATATCTTGCAAGGCATCATAAAAATTTAACCAAGAACTTTATTTAATTCTCTTTATCGTTTAATTAGGTGACGCAAAGATACAATGGGTGATAAATTCTTATTCGGATATTACACGAAAAGTTCTTTGTGTAGTAATAACGAGAAGACATCAGATGTAAGAGTATTATGGCCAAAATGGGCAGATGCAATGATCGTTTAATTTTCTTTTTGGACTTTTGGACATGTTCATCTTGATCTGATATTTATTAATTGTTACCTCTCTCTATGAATTATTTATAAATTATACTTAAGGAGTTTACGATATATGATTGTGTTTTGTATCACCAATAAAGTATTCTTAGATTGTTCTTTTTTAATCTGAACACCTATTTATAATTGTTTGACGTAGGCTGATTCAATTGTAATGTGTTTTATAGCCGGCAAGAGAAAGTATTCGAAATTTTATTCGTGATACAAGCAATGCCAATCGCTGTTAGCATGAAATGTACACGATCACAGTTTATTTGCCGTAACTTCGATCAGTCATCTGTGAATGCAATTTCACATTTCATGTATTGGAGAAGTGCAAAACTTTTTCCTTCTTCCTGTACAGCGCGCCGTCGTGCCAGGATGACTGAACATTCGGTCTTTTACAGTAAATCGAGATTTTTATTTTCCGCAAAATCTGAAGGAGATTCTAATGTAATCCGCATCTTCGTACAAATGGAGAAAGCTAAATTTCTCGTAACTGTGTGTTTTATAAAGACTTCTCTACAAGGTGCGCACTAACAGAGTAGAAACAGGAAAGAATCAAGTTTTGTTTTACCGTTGTGGTTTGATTTCTATCAATCCATTCTAAGTTTTATTAAGTCTTTTTTATTATGCATATATAAATTTATAAAATTTTTATCTTAAATATTTAAATCGCGTTCTTAGCAACAATATTAGAATTCAATTATTTCAATTGACAGAGAACAACATTAACAAGCGATTAAATATCAATTTTAAAAGCTACGACTTAATGAAGTTTTACACTATAAAAGTTAAAAAATAATTTGTATTTTTCATTTTTTTGATTTAAATTGTTAACCCGCTTGAAATTGAAACCGCTTAGGTTTATTACTCTGGCATTAAGAATAAAAAACAAGACGCGCTGTCTATTTAAAAAGTCTGCATCAAAAGAGACAATATATGACATACCATGGAATATATATTATACTGTAAATGTCGGAAAAGTATTTTAGGAGTACTAAAACAGTCTGACTAAGATAGTTAAAATCAACGTACACACCTGTTACGTACGTCTTGTTTTTTTATGACATAGCAACGTGCGTAAAATCACATTCTCATCTTCATAAAAAGCTTTATATTGCGCCATTGAGACTAAAGATTGATGACGAAATAGTATCGTTTACCACAGTCGACTCGGTTTGCGCAATCGTAAAATCATTCGAACCGATGCTCATAATTATAAATTTAAAAAATAGCTTTTAGTTGTTTTAACACGTGAGAGAGAAAACATATATAAATATATAATTATAGAAAATTTCGCCCGTTTTAATATTAAAATAATAGTTGCATTTTAATAATTGTTTTACTATAATTTAATTATGTATTCGAAGATACAATGTTATATAAAAAGACAATCTTTTTTACTAATCTGTATTTTATTACGCAAAAGAATTACAGATTAAATTAATTTTCGAAAGTTATAAGGATTTATATTTTAGTATTAAACGAAGTTTGATCTGGTAATTCGATCAGTTTTTACAAACGCCGGTTTGTAATGTTTCCACGCGAAGATCGTATCGGAATGACAAATACTGCACGCAAGAAAATTCACTTATCTATCTAAGCGCGCTCGTAGCTGTTCTGGAAATGGAAATTACATTCTATGATAATCCATCCTCTCGCGGGCTCGTCGAAGCGAAGAAAGTCCCGCGGCCCGAACGACACGCTTCGCGGCCCAACGCGGAAAGACGCGGCACAATCGCTGTGCCGAGACGAGTGGAGCGCAGCCGGCGAAACGAACCGTTTACAGCTGACTGAATGAAGTAAATCGCGCTATGCTGTATGAGAATACCCAGCTCGTCCCGCTGGGTAATCTCGTGTCCACGTGCTTTTCACGCGTCCTTCCACTTTGCGTTAATAGCGGCACACTTTGCTCGATTAACGACGCGCTTCTCTTCGCGCGCGTCTTTCACGAGGCGCTCGTGATCGCGCAGTAAAATTAAGGGTACGAGCGCATAGTAATTAGGATACTGTTGAGCTATACGTCGGAGTTTCTAATACGCGAACCGGAGAAGAGAGGCGTCTGGGTGAAACGGCCTGGCGAACGAATCCAATCGAGAGTGACAGAATCGTTGAACGATCGGATCTGCACGCTTCGCGGAGCAGGGTCTCTAGTCGTTCCAACGTTTTTCACCCTACCTCACCTTTCAGATGGCTGGAAAATATAAATTAGGCCACGCGGCCCGCACCGCCGGCCAGTTTGACGAAAGACCTCGATCGAAGATGATTAGAAATCACACCGATGGCTCGTACGTAAACCGCGATTTTCTCTCCTTTGCCGCGACCAACGCAAATTGATAAGCGTCACCTGTCGTCCGCAGAATCCGCGGTCTCCGAAAGCCGAGTAACGTAACAGTGCGTCTTCTTCCGCCGTTGTGAAGAGTTCTGAACCGCGAGGTGGTTCGTGGTTCACGAAGCGAATTTTATATTCGGTGTCGTTTCATTCGATCGGAAACTGATACAAATTTGTGATTGATATAATATACTTCTTCTCAAATATTGAAATGAATTTGCAATGTATCTTTCTTGAGCTTGAATGCTAAATATTTCGATACTATTATTCTGCGTAACAATTGTGATAAGATGTGCGTACTGAAAAGTGCACTTTAATGGCCCACTGTTAATCATACATCGAACAATCTTTTCTCATCTTGACAGTGCTATGAAGCGAAGAACAATCCGAAGAAATGGAGCAACAACGAGAAGCCTTTAATATAATTATGATTTTTCTTCTGATGGTTGCCAGCATCCATGACGTGTCGTCGAGTCTCTACACAATCACCACTACGATCGACATCGGCGATGGTGATCAAATTACAGATCGCTCCTGGCCCTTGAACACCACGGCGTCGATCTATCAAGATTCTACCACCTATTTACCCACTTCGGCGAGTATACAAGGGGAAGAGATACTCCATTCTTCGGAAACGAATGTTCTCAATCAATTCGTGCGGCCATCTCATCAGCGTAACGAGTATAGAGAAGACGACGACCCTGAAGAGCCTCCAGACCATGTGATACCATATTCGGACCATGAAGAAGCTAGAGACGTGCCTACTCAACCAAAATACGTAGGTCCTGGAATCTGGGCGAAACCGCCACCTGAAAAAGACATCCCTCTGGACTTCGTGCCGACGAAGCTGCATGCTCAAGTACGAGGAAGCCACACTGTGAGGAGAGTGCCACAGCGACAGGCGATCGAAAGCGCGGAGACGGAGGAAGAGAGGCGTAACGCGCCCAGATTGAGGGCAGTTGTCACCAATTCGAAGGTCAACACGGTCTACACCGAAGAGGGATACGAGGACTCGGCGTACGACCACGCGGGACACATCAGGGACGCCGATTTTCACGAAGGATTCGCGCACAAGCTTCATAATCGAAAGAACAGCGGACAAAACTCCTCAAGTGCTAAAAACAGAGAAGGAAAAAATTCAATACCGGATGAATTCAAGGAATATGAAGAAGACTATCAAGACCATATGTACGAAAAGAGAAAAGAGAAATTTGAGGAGGCAGATGATGAAGATAATCTGATAGCATACGACAGAAACGGCGGGGAAGAATCTGAATTAAATCCTAAATTCGTTGCTGAGAATAACATCGGGAAGCTGGAAGAAGACGTAGAGAAAGATGCTGAAGAGGCTGAGAGAAATTCGAAAATATATCAGCGCGCACAAGAATCGAAACTTCGTAATGATATCAAGGTAAATAGTTCGGAATTGGAGGAGTCTCGTGTAGAAGATAATTTAAAACACGAGAATAAGTCAGTCAAGACAAAGAAGCGCAAATCCAAATTGCGAAAAAACGATAATGTGGGTAAGAAAACAAAGTCGCGCAAATCGAAAAATAAGAAGCTCCTCTTTGGGGATTACGAGACAACTGTGCTCCCGTTTGAAGAAACAAGTCCAATTGATGTTGAAACGCCAGCAAGTCCCCATGGTTTTGTAACAAGTTCTCCGAACTCGCAGATATATTCTGTCGATCAGACGACCCTGCGCTATGTCGCGCCGATCGCAACAGCTCCGTCTCGACACATCGACGAGCCGACGACAGTTAGCTACAGTCAGCTCTTCTGGGATTACTTCAAGGCGAGGCAAGGCCCATCGAGCACCGAGCCATCCGAGCTCGTATCGAACTCGACGACCATGAATCCGCAACAGGAAGCGCAAACGCCGGTCGCGGTTGCAACCATTGACGGCCACGGTCCGTATCTTTTAGTGACGAAGGAGGAAACGTCGCCCTCGACATTCCTCGCCCCGAGCAGCTTCCGTCCGCGAAATTTGTTCTCCGATCACGTGGAATTCGGTCCAACCTCCGCACAAACGCACAGTCGTCATCTACTTGGACAAAGCGGCGGTGTCGACTACGTCAGCAGCGTGATAACTACATCCACAGTTAGAACATTCACCAGCGTGCCATCGTTAAGTCCTGTAGAGGACTCAACAAGTACTCTTCTTGACACCACTGCGTCCAGCAGCACTCCCGCTGTCGTGACACTCAATTTCACCAAGGAAGCCTACGCGCGAATAGCCGAGTACCATGAAAACCCTTTCCTCAGTCCTGTTCTCGACAATAGCAACATTGCCGTTACCAGAAATAAGCTCAAGTATAGGGTTCTAGCGAGAGCAAAGCCGTCTCATAATAAGAAACCCGTTAAATCCGTCACTCAATCTCCTCATCAACAGGTTTCATCGTCATCTTCCAAGGAAGAGAACGAGTACAGTAAGATTCGCGATGACCTAAATGCGAAGTATAATAAGATGCTGAATTATATTAAGAATAATCAAGAAACCCAGTCTTTCTCTAAAGAAAAAAAGACCTATTTTTCAGACGATCTTACCCTAAGGAGGCCGCCGATTCAACAAGCTACTTATTCGATCTTCTTAACGGATCATCCTTCGCCGAGGAATCGTTCGAGCATATCCACCGAAAGTGAATCGCCTCGGGAAGCTAACTGGAGAAACGAATTGCAAAATCAACATCGTTCTCAGCCGGCTAGAATACCGTTCCGTTTCGATCCCTTCGCCCATGTCCAGCCGGTGCATCCCGTCTATCGTAAAAATTCGCTTCCGACCACGAAACTATTGCCACCGCCGCTACAGCTGGCGACTGCTTACGCCAATTACCGTAGCAATAAGCAGAACGACAATCACCATTCTCATCTCAGTGGCAAACCGCAGCGACGAGATAACCCGTTTAGATATTTCCCTTTAAATTCCGAAGCGAGCTGGCGATCCGACCGGAGAAAAAGATCCGACGAAGGTGAATTTCGCGACGGCAACAGCAACGCTATGGATGTTGATGTGAAAGCAGCGGCAAACAATGGTGTGACTAATGACACTAAATCGGAGCAGCAAGATAAAAGTTCGTTTGATAGGGTAATTGATAGATCGGAAGGAAAGTTGCCGAGTCGGAGAGCGATCGATGCACCGATCGATGTTCCAGATGGTATAAAACTAGTATTTTCCACGAGATGGAGAGGAGACGAGAGCGGAACATCCAACAACAAAAATAGCACTATCTCTATCGGTGAAAGGAAGAACGCGACAGAAATAATAATCGACATTTCAAAGATAGACAACAAAGGATCGATATTGATCCAATCGGCAAAGCAAAATGGGCGAATAAATGACACGACTGTTATAGAATTGGCAAAAAAGAAAAGAGACATCGAAAGTGAGGCAGATTCGATAAACAGCTTCAAGAACAAAGTAAATGAAAATAATCACGAAGAACTGTTGAACGAGTCTCCGAAAATCAGCGGCGATGTGATCGACAAAGAGATTGCCACGCGTTTTAACGAGAAAGAAAACGAGGCTTCGCCGACGATCGAGAAAAATGGAAAAATCGAAGTTGAAATTCCCAGCTTCGATTACGTCGAGGAACTTGTTGAGGAGGATCTTATAAAAGATTTTTCCACGACGACGGAAGCCGCCATAGATTTGAACAAGTATCCATTTTATAACAACGAGGATGTACCTAGCGCGTCCGCATTGAAGTACGTCGTCGATCCCGCAACAATACCGCGGAAGACCTCGCGTGGAATGGCATTCTACGATTCCCGGAACGCTTACAAACAGTGCGACGAGGTGGAGTCCAATCTGGACAAAGTATTGCCCGAGAAAGAAGAGCCGGATCCCGAACGAGGCCCGCAAGAAGATCTACCGCGTCTTCGTGGTCTCGGAAACAAACTGGATTGCTTCAAGGCCAAGTACTTCGATGAGAATCCCCTCGACAATCCGTTGTTCGGCGAAAAACTAGTCGGGGAACCGACTCCGCCGACAGAGTTAAATCCCACGAAGTTCTCCTCAAAAATTATGGTGCTCCCTGAAGAGAACGACGAATACGTCGTGCCTCAAGTTTCAAAAAAGCCGGAGCAGTCGCGCAGCAGTCGCCAGTGGCGAAACAGAATTCGTCCTTACGAGACCCTCGAATCGATACGCGTCAACTACAAACACGATCCGCAAACCGGAAGAGGAAGGGACGCGTATCTCCACACTGTGCGCGGCACGAAGCTGTCCAACATGATGCGCAGAGTGAAGAATCGAAAATTTTGGTCAAAAATCCCCCCCACTACGACACCATCGCCCAAGTTTTACCAAACCGATTCCTATCAAAACCAAGTGTACGAAGATGTGATGGGTAATATTAGAAACATGAAGAACATTTACCAGGTCTACGAGATGACGACCTTGCCGCCGCCCACGCAGATTCTGGCGACTGCAGGCAGCGAAAACACGGTAAAAGTTGTGGATGATACATCGGAAGAAAACATTACGTCAAAGTCGGATGAAACTGACGTTACTGACGTTATAAATAACACGAAGTCGTTGGAGATCAAAGGATTGGTACCCCCGCCGAAGTATTTAATTCATCGGCAAACTTACAGGAAGCATAGACCGCTGGCTAAGAGCAGAGTGTCTTTCATAAGATCTCCGACTTTTCCGCGAATCATCGCTCACCACCATACTATCAAGCTGAACAAACGCAGCACGACAGATGACACCGCCAAGAATTCTTCTGAGAGTATTATCAATGACAATAAAGAGGCTACAGTTAATGGATCTACAGAAGTCGCTGCCGTTGGAAATGATACATTGACAGTAAAATTGATAGAAAAAGCAACGAACAAAACAAATGTAACAACTGAACCGTTAGATTTGGAGATCGAAGAGAGTAGACCAATTAGCGTTCAAGATCGAAGTTTGTCTACGATTCTGAAGATTAATGATAAGAAGAAACGAAGAAATTCCACGAGCAGCGATTTCAAGAGTAAACCTCAGAAAACTGTCTACACGATCAGAGATCGAATCAGGTACTCGAAGCCCAAGTGGGACACGAGAGGATTCGGAAAGTTTACCACGAGCTCAAAGACGGTGGATGAAGACAGCAGGCGAAAGGAGCCCCGGTATAATCGCATCGAAAGAAAGAATAAACCAGTCGATGATCGGCAGAACAATCCTACGATAATGAATTCAACCGAGAACACTTCAGGAATTGAAAGTGCAACGTCACTAATAGAAGATAGAGAAAGTAGCACAACCGAGGCTTATCATGCAGAAGAATCCGCTGTACAACAAATGATTTATCATAAAAAGGACGAATATCCAGAAGTGGACAGGGCCGGGACCGATGTGGAATCCGTGGAAAGCTTCTTTGAGGAGGACGAGGAGGAAAGTACGACCAACACGTATCAGGTTCGCGAGAGTGTCAACGAGAATGTTTCCACGACCACGGCGAGATCGACGGATCCTCAAGATTCGAAGGAAGTTCTGAATTTGCGAGAGTATTTGGAGTCTGATCCACCAGGATACGCGGAAACATTTCCCGAGGAAGCAACAACGCCATCGAGTAAATATCGTGCAAACGTAGATCACGAATCTGAAGACAGTGAAGAGAAGCAGGAGGAAGAGACTGATTATCCCAGAGGCGTGACGAATCCATGGGAAAATGATTCTTCCGAGAAAATGGAAGAACAGGTTGAAACGACGATGAAGACGAGATTATTCTCACAAGACGACGATTCCGAGGAGCTGTCATCGAAGGAAGAGGAAGGTACGAACAAGGACCAGACGTTTTTTACATATACGAGGCGGCCGTTATTGATCGAAAGCGACAAGGACGACGGAGACTCTGAGAAAGAGACAGTGTACAAACCTTTCCCATTTTCAAGATACAAGTCAAAGTTTAAAAAAGGAAGCGAAGAGAACAATCCAGAAGAGGAAAGCGAAGAAAAGAGCGAAGATTACGTATTCCCTTGGCATGCCGACAAAGAAAATAAAGACGGTAAACGGTGGTTGCACGATTTTGACAGATACGAATACCCTTGGGAAAAGAGAGACAGATTGGCAAGAGAACGAAGGAAGCGGAAGCACGCCAGGATTTACGACGACGAAGACGAGGAAGAATCCACGAGGTATGAGACGCCCATTTATCCTTGGCAGAAACCCACTTATCCTTGGGAGAGGTATAATGTCCCTTCCAAAATTCGCAGAGTGAATACTAGACGCGATGTTTCGCGCAGGAATATAGATGACAGCGAAGAATCTACTACCGAGTACGTGCCGTTTACGAAATACAGCAGCAGATACAGTTCCAGCGATGTAAAGCCAAAGGTTTCTAGCGCGCACGAAATCAGCAGATCCATCCAAAAGTTTCTAGAGGATGAGGACGAGCCCAGGGAAAACGCTTCAAAAGAGATAGAAAATCATACTCCTTCGTTCGCGCAAAAATCACCTTCCTCAGATAGAGGAATTTCCAGAGGAATGCTCGTGCCCGAGGACATCACGCAGCCGCCGAGAAGAAAGAATGCAAGAAGAAAAGCGTCTCAAGTTGACAGGAATGCGACAAATAATTCGCGCTTCGATTCGAAAAAACTCAGGAGTGAAGATGTTATTAATGAAGGAAAGGAAGAAGAGCCTATGGAATATCTGAAGTTAAACAAAAGTGATTTAGATGATACGGAAGTAACAAGCGTTCAGCCGAGCCAGTCTGATGGGACGAAGGAAGTTCCTTCCGCTACTGAACAGCGTAAGAAACGTCGACGAAAAGTATCGAAGAATAACTTTCCGGTTTCCCTCGATAATGCATCTGCCGCATCTGTTACTGAACCTACCAAAAAGAGACGCAGAAGACCTGAAACTTTGACAACAACGTCAACAACGCCTTCGACAAGCATCGATTTTGGCCCGAGAAAATCAACTTTCACACCTAATCGAAAAAGATATTCAAAGAAAGGCGAGAAGACAAATAGATCGGATTTTTCTGAAAAGACTGCAACAGCTAAAACAATTGCCACGCCTAAATCCAAGACTGACAATTCGCAGGTAGAAACTTCAACACCAAAAACACGAACGATCGAGCATCTATCGAGAGTCTCGAAGGAGAAGATCGTTACGAAAACCACTTATCCAAACGAAACAGAAAACTTCGATTCTATGAAGACGTCTGTTCGAAAACAGCCGGTGAAGAGAATCAGACTGAAAGTTAGAAAGAATAATAATAAACAGGACGGTAATAATTTTGATAATAAAGATTCAGATAATAAGACAGAATTAGTAAAGCAAGAGGATAAGGAAGAAAGTGACGAAGATAAATTTGTCAATGGGGATGAAATTAAAAAATCGGCGTCAGATAAGCCTCAAGATAAAAGTAGAGATAAAGCTTTTAAACATTTTGGGATGAAGAAGGAGGAAGTTAAGAAGATAAATGATTTTGGCACTCACGACGGCATTGTTAACGATGAGAATGATAATGACAACAGTGGCATTGGGATATCGTCAGAAGTAAGTTTGTCACCGCACCACAGGACGGTTCAGCTGACCGAATATGGCTCCAAACATATGATGTCCTCTATGTCTTGGATTTCAAAGAATTACGATTACTAAGGCACGAATTTCTTCTTACGTTCTTCCGGACGGTGTACTTTTTGTAATAATAATTTTAAAATTAAGAATGCACAAGAACTAAAAATAGCATTACAATATAAAAGATATGGAGAACCTTAGGGACTTGAATTTAAGTTAAAAAACGTTAGACCAAATTATTTATCTATAAACTATAAAAATATGTAAAAGTGTCTAAATAATCGCTAAAAATAAATATCGCTCATGTTTTACTCGTAAAGTAATATCATATATAATAATGTTGCCATAAATTAAGTATGTAATAATTTAAATCAAAATTAACTATGAATACATATATAATTATGCGTTCAACATAACTCACTTATGATTCATTCATGAAAGTTTGTGGTTTCAGAGCTACGCAATACGCAACTTAATGCGGAATATTCCACCGAATCGAGGAAGAAGTCGAGCCAACGAAAGAACTCAGAGTGAATCGGACAGGCTAACTGAAGACTGGAAGGAACGAAACTACAATAAAGAGGCAAACGAAGAAGAAAAGAAGAAAAATGTGGAACAAAAGCGGAATCCGTTAATGCAGACCAAGTTTATAAAGGATCCGGGGCATAGACTGTATTATTACGTAGAGCGTAAATAATTAGAGTATTTTCGTATAATTACAACAAGACATTTCTACTATAAACCGTGAATTGATGTGCAAAGTTAATTTTACAATTTGTAGATAACTATACAAAAAATTTATTTTATCTTTTTATTTTATATATATTTTTTATTTCGTAACAGATAGTAAAATACAAATAACTTTGTGGCTACGTTTATCAAGAAATTAGAAATCAACATAAGCGTATCACGCAAAAAATTGATTATATGTACATTATAACAGACATTTTTATAAACTCTAAAACATTTGCGAAAGAAGACGCAGCGCAAAAGGTAACTTCGAACACTTGCACTCGTGTTTATTTCAATACGCACAGTATTCTTAATATAATATTTGTAGTAGTTGCGGTAGCATATTTGAGTTAATTAATCTTTGTTTTAGAGAAAGTGCATTTTAGACGCGGATGATTAAGCGCGATCCAACCGAGGGTGTTGTAATAGTTTCTTCCGACCTCTAATTACGCTGTTGTATATAGCCTAGAATATTTTTGTTAAATAAACGTTACGGAGGGATTGCGTAATGCATCACTCGAAAGCGTCGGCGTATCCGTTTTTTTTTTCGTCAGTGCAACTATTGCGAGGGCCAGACGCGCGCGCGAAGAAATCGTGCGAAACACTGGAGAAATTATATCTCCTGTCGCTCGGGACTACAAAAAGAAACCTCGTTAAGAGCTGAAATTTTCTACTTGTTCATGGGTTTATAATGCGCCGGCAATAATCGCTATCTTTTTTGATCTAACCGGTAACATAATTCGTCCGCTTTCGCGAACTTTGAGCTGATCTCAGCGTTAAAATCTTTCCCACGAAAAGCATAAAATTAATTAGACATACAATAATGTAAACGTGGATATTAGTGTGATGTTGTTACATTATCGATAATCGTTTCGTTAAAGTAATATTTTAAACGCAAAACAGAAGAGAAAGCAAATACTTCTATAGAATCTCTTTTCGTTTCCTACATTCTTTTATCTCTATACATATATGATACATCGGTCATAATTGTAGCAATATATTGTAATAATTTGGTTTATGTTTAGATATTTCTTTGCATCTTTCAGAAGTGCTTTAAAAACTTATTTAACAAAATTGTTTTCTCTTGTTAAAAACTCTCTTAATCGAACAATGCATCAATTATTTCTAATAATTATAATTGGATAATTAAACACGACTTTTAATAAATTAATATTTTTTGTCGCTTTCTCTTCTATAATTGCAGTACTTTGTCAGCAATGTTTATCATCATAACAATTGCTGCAATTCGTGAGTCTGCTGGATTATTAACCTTGTTACGTAATCGCAAACAGTCTTCGAAGAGCGGATACCCTTGATCTATTTTTCGTCGCATGAGCGCGATAATCTTTTCGTGCAGCTTAATAAGCGACATATTGATAATTATACTGTTATCTGCTTGCAGCGATCTATTAACGAGGGAAATTCAAAACAATTATGCGTAATGCAGTAAAGTCACAAGCATGTGAATAATTATTACGATCTATGCTTCACCGTTGTGTTTTATTGTACAATCGTTCTATCTTATAAGTACATAGAATATTTAAAACAAAATGAGATAAATATCGTTTTCATATATACTATGTTTTCTGATAAAAACCAAACACGAAAGAATTTTAACCCATCAAATACTGTATATTCTTTCTAATTGATATATTTTTGGCTTTTAGTTAACTTATAATGGAGCTATTTAACGTATACAAACTATTTTTGAAGGGAAAAAAAAGAATGGCAAAGGAAGATAGTTTTCTTCAAAGAAATCTCTTTTTTATTTACATTTCTATCTTTTACATGCGATGTTTTAAAGACATTTATGTTTTTACAGGTATAAAGCTGCATTATAAAAGTATCCGAGACACGTAGTTGATTTATTTTTACTTAGGTCACGTATACGAACAGTTAATATAGCAGAGAGAAAGAGAACTCCGTCTCGCCTTACAATAATAGAATACTGTACCGGAAAGGAAAGGAACGTGGGGCTCACTGGTGACCACGACTAGGAAAGAAGTATTAGCCATCCACGCAGGCGTGACGAATATATACATATCACGATTAATCTGAACTAATCTGTTATTGTCAAATGAACTACACACATGCAGATATAGTTCAAGATTTCTAGTTCGAGTTTTTCCTTCTTGCGATACACGTTTAAGTTACAGAGACAATTGAATTTTATTCGTAATAAATAAGAATGAGAAGTTACTTGATTATTTCACTTCGAATTTAATGACAGTCCGCGAATAAGAGCCAACAAAGTTACATTCGAACATTGTTCCTTGGCATTTAAAGTGCCAAGCAATTTGCTTAAGAAATTACGTTTGATGCTGCTCAATTATTTCATAATAATACGCATTTTATTCTTACACGATGACAGGCGATAATAAAAATGGTAAATCAACTTAAATTACATTATCTGACGCGACGCATTCTCTTGTTTCTAACAAGATACTTTCCAGGCATTTTTTCTCCGCACGCAGAGTCGCTAGTGTCGATTATAAAAGTACATTACACGACAAATAATCGTTTTATATTAGATAATTTCGAGATACAGTACTTTCTTGATGAGAGCTATCCTCACATGAGAAAAATGATCGATTAATGATGCACAGGTAATTAATTTACCATAGAAAATTAATTTGACAATTGGACATTTATTTAAAAGATATACGATCCACATTTATAATGTTTGTTTAATTTTATTGTATTTATTCGCATATCTCTGTGATTTTAACGTGAGACAATAATTCATTTTATTTATCAGCGTTTATATCGCCTTCTGTCACCATCAATCTTCGGCGAACAAATTTTGGTGACAATTTCTACGAATAAAATTTTTACGTCCTTACTACTTATTGATTTAACTGCATCCAATCTAAAAGGACATCGTCGATATTTGTCGTTGTACGGTGAGGACGCGCGGCATCGTTCAAACCGCGAACAGAGCACAAAGAAAACAGTGTTTGCCGAGGAAGTCGGTCCTTGGTGCGCAGGATGGGAGTCAGCGCGACGATGTGAGAGGTGGCTGCTCCAAGGTTAAGGTGTCACAAGGTGGGCCCCACGATATCCTCGCACGCGCTCCGATAAAATCCTAGACGGAGGAATAAAATGCGCGCGATCGAAAGGGAACGCTGATTGTATGATTGGTCAACGTTAACACGCGTGTCACGCCGCGCTACGCAACGTGTATATAATTCGATCTTTGCCTTTGTATTCTCGTTTTATCTACGCGTTTTAATATCGTGTCGTGCCCCATTGGAAACGACGACATGCTGCCTGCCAAGGTACGTGAACAAGGCGTTTTGTGGTCGGAAATAAATTATAGTGAACTCGGGGGGTGTCCTATCGACAGAGACATGCGCGCAGGATGTGAAGTGCTCGTACTTTTGCGAAATTAATAAACGTAAAATTTAATAACTCTCGATAACAGATTGAACGCGTTCGATATTCCAGATTGGATGCGTCAGTGTATCGTATAAGACATACAAAATTGTACTGTTGTTTAATAGAATATTAATTACATTATACATGAGAGCGTTTAAATACTTTTACTTGAAGTTTTAATATATATAAGAAGAATGTTTTATTATACATTGAGGCAGCTTGTTAAGACAATAATTGAATAAAAATACATAAAATTGCATTTGCAGAAAATAATAATAATGTCAAGAGTAATGAAGAAAAATTATATTTAATGAGAAAAGACTTTATTTGATTTGTAATTATATTTAATAATCAATAAAATAAGAAAAGAAAATCACATAACAGTTCTCGCTAATAATTTTGTTGAAGATAATACAAATAAGTTATTGTAATAATTGTAAATCGATGTATATTTATGGTATAAAATACCTACTTGACGTCGTTTGGTTTAAGAAGATGAAAAATAAATAATATTTAGTATACTATCTATAGATCGTAGGTTTATGCAACAAGCGTAGATCGTCAACAAAATCTAAAACGTGCGAAAAACTGGCACGCAAAGCACGACACACTTTCTATACGCGATTGCCTAAATTTCTTTTAATGCAAGTAATTTCGAGGCCATGTGCCTACGCAATACGAATCTTATTTGTTAATTAATAGCGATGACACAATCATGACAGATTGAACGGCTAATTTGTAAGCAATCGCTTGAATGGCGATTTTACTAAATCGCTGCATTCTTACATAACTGAAAAAATGTGCACGTATGGTAAACTCTTAAGTAATTTACTATATGAGGATATACGAAGATCGTAAAATAACACGTTACTAATGTTCCTACTATCAATAATACTTTTACTGATAAAATAATTTAATTGCATCTAAAAATATATATTCTTATAAATTATTATGCAAAAGTTACATTATAGAAAATTTTGTACCATGTACATTTTGTCAACAGAGAAACATCATTTTTATATACAACATATCAAATAGATACTTTGTATTGTATCATTTTCTTGACATAGTTACAGAAAAATATTCTCAAACACGCATTAAAGTCTCTAAATCATGACTTCACATATATGATTTTCTGCAGATAACTTTGTTTTTTGGACTCGTGGCACTACTAACATTATCGACAGCAGCACCAGACAGTGCAGGGATAGATGAAATGGAGAATGGATTGGCGTACGGTAAGTAAGACACCTATTTCTCAATTCTTTCTTTCTTTCTAACAAAATTTAAAAGAGATTTTTATATTTATGGGGATTTATGTAATTATAATTCTATATTTGTAACATATAATTATTAAGATTCAATTAATTCAATGATTCTATTTATTAGAATTATTTTAAAATATCTTCAAAGACACATAATAATTTATGTTAGAAATATTTACAACTGATTGTGTTTTAATAATTTTCGTGTGTGCTAGACTAGATACACTATTTATACATGTATATTACATATTGGTTGGATAAATAAGTAAAGTATTTTTCTTCGCCTCTGAATACGATTCGGGTTGGACTCCACAGAAAGCAGCACTAGTAATCATTGGTGACTTCATTGGTGAAATCTTTCTTCCTCTCACCCGACGGAAACAGCAATGTTGGATATTGCAACCATACGTTAGACATTTCTCAAATTGCTTAAATCAATTTATTTAACTTTTTATTAATATATGTGCTTTAATGTGTATTATTTATCTAAAATATAAATCAGTATTTCTTTCTATAAAGTAATTGCTTTATAAATTATACATATTGGAAATTCGTATGAAATTATTTACTTGTTTCGTATCAGAATTGTGCTTCAAACAGCTAAATTATTTCACAAACACGAATTGAAAAAACTGATTTACATATCTGCGAGATTCCTTTTAAATCACAATAGCTTCGCTTGAAATTTTTTGCGGGATAGTCATTTATAGAAGACATTTAATGGACACGTTCTGTCTCGTTTATAAAAATAAATACTTTACGATCTGAATTCTATAAATGTATAATTTACACTATCACGAACGTCAAATTCCAAAATTACAATTCGTGAGAATAACTTACACTTGTTATAAATGTCAATTCATCGGAAATCTTCAATGTAGACGAGACATTGTGGCATCATAATTAACATAAGTATAATCATTTAAAACTTACGTCTGAAATAAACATCAAATTAATTTAACTGTAGTAAAAAAGGGAGACAGGCAGTTATTTGCACAAGAGAACTGAGTGGCGCAGAGTTTCTAATTTATTTATTACTTACTTTATTATATTATTCTCAATTGCGACAGTTGTAGAGAATTGCAGTTGTACTTTACTAATGTATTAATTGCCTCATTCAACAGGTGGGATTCCTTATGGAAGCGTGAGCGGCATGCTCGCGAAATATCCGGGATACGGACGGATTAACGCTCAACCTCAAGCCAGACAATTCAACATTTTGAGCAACACCCAACGGCCAGTAATAATCACGCCAAATTTCCGAGCAACCCGGGTGGTGGGAATTTCGCCTCGACCTGTGCAAATTTACAATCTTCCGAGTGTCATCGCCCCCGGTGTCGTCGGCACGATCAGTCAGATCGGCTATTAAAACGGCCTCGCCGTCGATCAAATGCATACGTCAGTCAATCGAACTTCTCTCTTCTCACGATGAAGCTCTTCTACGAAGAACGTACAGTATGTCAAGCCACCCGCATCGCGAAGTTGCATCTTACAGCATAATATTATTATAATCCATCCATGGTACAAAGTAGAAATGATCGGATGAAGTATTATTAGTTCGTGATTTTCGCCGAGTTAATTTATGTCGAAATTGCACGCAGGCACTCGCATAAATTATCCACCATAATTGTGAATAATAATATTTATTATGTAAGAATATATTCTTGTAAGTTTTAGTCGAGGATTGAAACTTTACGGTACTATATTTTACACATTAGTTTGTGTATTTACATGCTACTACATTACTGCTATGTTATATTAAAATGTCAAGTAAGTAAGGATGAATATGTGCGTTCTAAACGTAACGAATGTTAATATTATTTTAATTGTTGTAAATATCAAATATAATAAAAAATAATGACGTAATATTTTATAGGTGCTAAAATCTAAAAGCATGTATAAACTTTGCTTATAAATAATAGATTTTATAAAGCTTATCGTGTAATCAAAGGATGTAAGATTACAATTTTATGACCACCCTTACACCCTAGCATTCAGCATCGAGGGTAAAAGGCGTTTAAGGAGAGAAAGTATAAATGACGTCGGACACGATGTCTGTTCCTTAGTCGTCACGAGTCGCACACACAATGCATTACGCGTCGCACGTGAGTATTCTTGCATACAAAAGCCGTTAGTCGTATGGAGAAAAAAATAACAAAATTACAATTTCGTAACAATCTGTGGTAGCGCAATAAGTCATCACAAATGATAAACTTTGTCACGTGTCAAGATTTGTGTAAAGTGTCAAACTGCTGAATGTTCCTCGAAATACTCACAATTTGCATTTCTCTTTTATAATCCAGTACCCGGAAATAATTCGCGCAGTTATTCTCAACGTAATTACATTTAATAACTAAGTGACGCATTTGTAAATTTATTGACGAGGATATTAATGACACATGTATTTCATTGAAATACACTCTACTTTGTAAATTGTACCACATAATTTAAAGCTTAAGAATTTGTATCTAAATTGTTATAAATTCCATCATATTTTCAAAGAAAAAAATGTTTTCTTTGAAAATAGAAGTAATAAGGAAGTATGTCTTATTTAATTTTTGAACTTCATTAGTGAAAAGTACATATTAGTGTGTGTTTTTTGTTGTGTATAAATATATGCAGTTTTTTCCAACTTCTTGGTAAACTATTAGTTAAATTACATGTCTATCTCTTTGTCAAATTTAAAAGAAAAACAAAGATATACGTGTGATTTAACTATTAGTTAACTTACCAAGAGGTTGGAACTATCCGCCCTTAGTGTTAAAAAGTATACCGATTTCCAGTCGAAAAGGAGAAAACAATTTGAATTTTATGATTTATGTTAACTTCAGTAGATCTGTTGCAATTTGAAGATAGTCCCGTTTTCATTAAACGAACAAATATATCACGGAAATGTAATTTCCTAACGATTATAGACACATCATCAATATATGTAACTTTACATGGAAAATTTAGATATGTCAATCTTATTCCAGATCGTAATAGTGATGATTCACTAATGCTGCGCGAAGAAATGCAAGCAAGCACGTGCAAAGCGCGTGACTCGTGAAAATCAATCTCGTGAATGAATACGCATGAATGGAGACTCAATTTCCTTTTGACACGCGTTGAATAGACGGTACATTATTATTTCTCCCGCAGCAATGTTTTTAATATTTCAATTTTTGCTTATCTTACGTGCATGCAATTATCTTGTAGCATAAACGTGCCTTTGCATCCTCTATCAATACATTACATTTCCAGAGCTTTCCGATAAATTAATTACCATAGCAATAGATAAAAATTAATATATACATATACATTATATGTTATTTTACTATTTATTTTTATCTATTCCTGTGGAATTTATTCATTGGAAAGCTCTGGAAATGTAATCTATTGAAAGAGAATACGAAGACATGTTTCTGCTACAAGACATACCGTGACGTAAACTTCATATTTTTATATTAATGTCATAGCGTACAGCGGAAGTTTATTATCCATCTATATGTTCATATCTACAATAAAAAATGTCTTCGAATTATTCCTTCATAACTATGTGTTTTATAAAATAACGGGTAAGAAGTAATAACCGGTGAAACATCGCAAACGTAACAATGTCTTCTCTTATACGAGACTCTTACATAAATCAGAAGAAAATGTTCAATTACAAGTTCCGTTACCGAGTTTCTCTTCCCTAGAGACTTTTCTGGAAATATTAAAGTTAATATTTATTAATTGCTTTCTCAGGGAAATACTGAAAAATTTTACTTATTGTGCAAAGTTATCGCTGCAACCGGAAAGTAACCTCACCAAAAGTTTCATATGTTCGAACAGTATTTCCGCAATATGTATACCTCGCGAAAATGCAATCGGCGTGACCATACACAGATCGGTTCGATTCTATTATTATAAGAATCGAGTTTCGCATGACGAGATACGATAACAAGCGTATCCAACACTGATATCTGCATTCGTGTGTGCGTATATGTGTGCCGGCGCTTCTTTTCGCCGGGATTTTGCAAAACCCTGCTGGAACGATGCGTTGATCGTCGGATTTACATGCATACGCGTCTCTCCTTACGCAATGGCAAATAAAGCATAATTCTATGGGGAGTATCGTCGGTCACGCTATCCGTATCGTCGTGCGTTACGCAGTTCGTAGCTTTACTTGCGAGAAATCCAGGATACACCGCGAATCCCACTATAATTAAATTATATTATACAGAACATACAAAAAATTACTTAGATATATTTTATCTGTTAATTTTGACCATACTTAAATAAATTTTTATAATGTTAATTTGCATTAAAAATATATTGCAATTATATATAATTGCTAACTTTTATTTTAGATATTTTGCAAAATGGTCAAAGAAAAATAATCTATTGCTGGATTCCACTTTAATATAGCATCATTTATAATATAGTTATTTTTTATCGCTCACACAGATGAGTATATATTATATTTTATATCTTTTAGAAAAAAGTAGCTATAATAACTTGATTATAAAATTATAAAAGTTATATGTTCAGAAAATTATTTTTTTGTTGCAAATACAAATTCTATGAATGCATCGCAGATAAAAGAACAATCCGTTAAACGGTTATTAAAATTATTATTTTATTAATTTATTATTGTTATAGATTGTTATTATTTCATCTAGAGAAGTACAGCGTTTAATTTAATATCGAATTTTCTTCTTACAGATGTTGCTGTACTATATCGCACTTTGGTGCGCAATTAACGATGGAAAGGCAGCAAGAAGCTCAGTCAGTAAGCATAAAATGTTTTTCCTAAAATTTATTAATTATACAATAATTATTGTTCATTTTTAGACAATTGGTAGTAAAAAGACAGTTGACAGTTAAGCTTGTCAATAAAATAGTTTGCGATTGGATATAGCTTTTTATAAAATTGTTTGTGAAGATTATTAATGTTAATGGAGGGAGAAAATTAGAATTCCAAAAAGGACTTTAAATTCCGAATTAAAAGATTTTGATTAAATCGTTTTTTTCAATGCAGATCCGGATATCCTAGCAAACTTTGCTAAAAATGTAGCTTCAGTACTCTCGCCGGTCATCTTGGGCGAGGTGCAATCCCGCTATAATCGTTCGTCTTTCCAATCCACGGAACCCGCCAATCTGAATAGCGACGACTTGAATGCCTCAATTCTGGATAACATGGTCGATAAAACGTTAAACGCAGCCGCTTATTACGAACCACGCTCTTATCCTTATGGTGGACTCTTAGTTGCGACCAATGCGAATTCTCCCGAAGGACTCAAAGGGTCTGAAGCGAACGAACGTCTCGATGGATCTCTGCGAGATGATCCCTACTTACGTCAGGAGCAACCTAACTTCCATAAGTCTTACGCTTTTCCAGCAAACAACGATAATTTTGATGCGACTTCGAAATCCAGCGATAATATCGACTCGTCAATCGGTAATATCCAGGAATCGTCCACCAATATTTTTTCTTCTTATCATGGCGCCGGCTTTCCGAAGGCAGCTTTCCCCCACGGACCTTTCTTAGATAAGCCTTACGGTGGCTTCCACGGTTTCGGGCCGTACGGACACCATCATCATCCGTATGGAGGTGGATCTTCGGAGGAGGCGAGCTCGGAGGACAATGCGCGAGTGGATTACAATAGGACCAACTATGGAGGCTACGGTTCGCCCTATTTCGGCTACCCTCATCCCTATTCCCCATTTCCTTACGGAGGATACGGTAATCGTGACTCCTACGGACCCTATCAGGGAAACGGAAATAACTCCTCTGGAAACGGACGCAATGGATATTATGGGCACGGGCCTTACTATGACGGGCCCGATTTTTACGGACCGCCCGGTTATGGTTACGGTTATAACGGCAACAATAATAGAAACAATAATGGTAACAATAATGGCAATGCTAATGGCAATGCTAATGGCAACACTAATAGCAGACAAACCGAAGAACCGGCTGGCAATGGCGATCAAAATAACTCGACAAAAAACGGATACTCGCCTCCTTATGGGCCCCCTTGGGTCAAGCCCTTGCTGGGGACTTTTCACCTCCACGGCCTCCCATCCCCTTTCAATCTTCTGCCCTACGACCATTTCCATGGAGTGTTCAAGGGCGGCCCTGTGGTCGGGGTTGGCCCCGTTGGCTATCCCATATATGCCGATCCTTATCTAGCTGGATTCCCGTTCCATCATCCTTACGGACCTTTCTTTCACGGTAAAAAATATCTACCGCCGAAAGGCAAGCCCGCCGATTCCGGTGAATCGGGCGAAACAACGGAAGCACCAGCTGGACTCACGGAAAACGAGAATCCCGAACGAATAACTGCGCTCAACGAGGAGGTGGTAGCCCCAGCTCCAAGTTCGAATCGATACAGGACATCGGGCGGGAAGGAGCTGAAGCGGATCAACCTCGTTAATTTCGAGAGTCGAAGAGTCTGATCCCTGAAACATTAAACTTGGTAGAAGGAAGTGAAATTAAAATTATAATGTACCGTAGTAAAAGACATAAGGAAAGTATGACGTAATACGAAAACATTTAAGTATTATCTTCTTTAAAAAAATTTTTTTTAGGAAATACTCTGCTTGTAGAACAAAAAATTGAAGAAATAATAAATTGGAAGGAATATTAAACTAATAATTTTAGGTGTTAACAAATTTCAAGGCTTAGCTTAAAATTTGCAGGAAAATGTTAAAATTACTCATATATTTATATATTGAAATATATAAATTATATATTATAACTTATATATTATATATTTAAAAATAGCTTGTAGGAATTTCTTCTTTTAAGTTTTAAGAAACATATGACGTTATGCAAATGCTGATTGTTATTAATTATGTATCCCATAAAAAAATAAATTATAAACCGATCATATATGCAGAAAGATGTTATAAATTCCACTTACAGATGCGGTATCCTTTGACTGTAGGAAAGATAAGTCGACAATTAACAGGCGCACTAATTACAGGTGCTGCGCGACACGTATATACATTCGTATTTATCAATCTCTGTTACAGCGTTCTCAGGATTATGATATAGAATATGTTCTCATGATTATTGCCGCCGGCCTTTATCTACACAATTAGTCTTTGTCTCTAACAATAACGCATGAAGCGTGCATGGTCCAGTAATTTTCGCGGCCTCCATACGATTTTGCATATACGTCGCATCTACTGCGTCAATGACGATATGAAACGCGATTATGCAAGGCACGCAAAGTTAGAGACATTTCATTTTCATGCAATTAGTAGCATCCGTTTTCTTACGTGAGAAGAAAATTGTTAACGAAACGTTAATATATTTGACTTATGTATATGAAAAAGTAACAGTCTCCTTTTGCTTTAAATTAAAACACAATAAGTATAAATCTAAATGTATATGACAATCAAATTTAATTTATTATAACATATTAAACATTTTTATTTTATATATTAACTGTTTATTATTATTTTTACATTAAAGAGTTAGCTATTAGTTAAAATCTTTTTTATAATCCCATTATGATACATAATTCAAGGTAAATGCGTAACAATTTACGTAACACGCAGGAAATCCTTCGCTGTTATGAATATCGATTGTAGATCCGATCTCATTTGCTGGGAACGGGAAATAAATTGCTGGTAAACGTGGATAATCGACTGTGAAGGTAAATGTAACAAAGAAAATCATATTCCAATAAAAACGAAGACAATCGTGAATTATTCATATCGATGATATTTCGATCAACAGAAGTGCAAACCGTAAATATGAATTGTGTTCTTGTAAATTCTATTCGGGTGGAATATCGAAGTAGCAAAATTGTACGTTATCAATTGAAGAAGTCGACAGAAAAATATAATAGTAAAATAGGTTTACAATTCTTAAATTATCGACAGTTTCTTGTTGTACCACTTAGAAAATATCAATGAGTAAAATATTTATATTTAAGTGACTTTCTACAAAAGAATGAGACTTGGGCTGGTATTCATAGTCGAGTCTTATGTCAAGATCATCTTAAGTACCCAGTGAGAAATGATTCGTTAAAACGATGTCGAATCGACATCGATATTATCAAATTGACGTCGATTCGACATCAATTTGACGGTGTCGACGTCGATCGACGAGATATAATATCTTAAGATGTTAATACGGCTCTGTGATCGGTTAGGTTGGTTTACAACACATTAAGACTATACTTAAGATGATTTTAAATATGAAAACGGATTATAAATACCGATCTTAAAATTGCCAATATGATACATCAACATCTTCTGCGTGTTAACCACGTCATTATTATGCGAAACTGTAATTATGTAAACTGCGTATTACACGTGTTCTGTCGAGACATGATTGATAAGGCGGGTCAGAAGGTACTTGTCGCATTTTATAAAAATATATTGGAAGTTTGGCCGAGAGAAAGATAACGTTCGCGAGGAATTAAGACCTAGCTGAATTAATTAATTAATTCTATGTTATACATGCTGGATTATCGCAAAGCCAACGCATTTATCTTGTATTTTGTAGAGAGCATTATGCCACTGTAATTAGGCGTCATTCCATTAATAATCATTCTATATATTAATACTCAATACGTATATTAATCTCCAAAACTCAAGAGTATCGGGAGACTGACGATCGCTTCCTAGGTCTAGTATCTCTAACTAATGCATAGGTAATAAATGTCTATCTCGCCCCTCTTAATTTTTAATGTCCATCTTCTTTAATATCTATCTTCTTTCTTTCGCAGATCGTAGAGGGCCGTCACTAGGAATGTCGCCACACAATTGACAAATCGGACACACATATATCAAGTACGCAGTCTATCAACATAATTTCACATTTTGTAACAGAATCCCGGTTTACGTAATCATCGTTCGTCTGTCACTTCTTTCTGTTTCGGTTACGATACTCGGAGAAGAGCGTTTCCTCCCTGGAGTCAGTTTGCTGCTGGGATTCACCGGCGGACTCGGGAATTATTGCCGGCGATAAGCGATTAACGATTACAGCAGCGGCATTAAGTATCGCAACCGGTGGTTGCGACGTATGAGTCTCTCCTGCTATAATGAGGGGTTTACGGCGCCGCAGACACACGCGAGCAGTCGCGTCGAAGAAGAAATTTGGATGTCAAGGCGCCCACCGGGCGTGGACTAATGTGACCCCGTCACACGTGCGTTACCGCACATCGCCGCGTCGCGTTTCTTTCATAACGCAAAATCGCAATTCGCATAATCCCAGGGTAACAATGAAGTTTCCTATTAGCACAACAGGCGGAGGCCAGTGCGAGGCCCGGAAAAACGTACCGCTCGTGGGGGGTCCACCGCCTCACAAAGAGACCCCGCCTTTCTTATAAAAGCATCAGTGTCGCAGAAACGATGGACAGTAGTGTTCGACGGCGACAGATGAGAAAAAAATCGGCGCGATAGTTAACAAAACGCCAACGTCGGACTACAAACAACAATTGCAAATACGAGAAAGAATGGCGTACCTGAAACTTGTAAGTACGACGAGTACATGAGTCAAAATTGTTCTAGACATTAAGTATGGCAATTTAATTCGTTGCTTGTTAGTTTTTCCACTGACAGTGAAATGTTGCACGATAAAGTAAAAGAAAGTACGTTTTATAATTGAATTAATTAATATCTTTATAAATTTTGTAAATTTAATGCTATGTTATTTTACATTATTGTGAAATGTCACTCATCAAATTGATATTTGCTTTCTTTTTGTTACAACACGTCTGAATAAAACCTAAGAGGATGCATACAAAATGATAATCTTATTACGTGATTACCGCACCGTTAATCCGAATAAGCTTGCAACTATCTATTTTGTAATATATTCCTAATCCTTTCTTTTAATGGACAAAATATTTGAAATAAAATGTGACATTAAATGTAAAATTAACTTTTTCAATTTCTTAATTCCTTATTTTAATAAAGCAGATAAATCATTAAAAGATTATTTTAAAGTTTACTTGTATTATATCGCGTTAATGTAATTGCAAAGAAAAATGAGGGTTTTTCGAAAATACCAAGATTTAAATTTTCTTCAAGGTACATTCAGGCTGTTCCTTGAAATGTTCTAATCCTTTGTTCGTGTTACAGTACCTTGCTCTGCTCTTGGCCGTTGCAATCGGCGTGGCAGTTGCAAAACCGGGATACTTGGGTGGATATGGCTATGGATATAGGTTCCCATTCTACGGTGGCTACGGCGGCTACGGTGGCTACGGTGGCTACGGTGGCTACGGCGGCTACGGCGGCTACGGCGGTTTGTATGGACATGGATATGGTCATGGATATGGACATGGATTTGGCTACGGCGGATACGGTAAGATCTATAATAAAGTATGTTTAATTTATTTTAAAAGTCACATTGTTCCAGTTTTATTATAGAAATGCCATTTTCTCACACATTTCTGTATCTCTCCTTTAATGTTGTATGACGATTAATTCTTATATTTTTTAATATTTCATTTTTATAATTATTTAATGTAACATTTTCATATAAGAATCTATTATTTTTATAAAATATTATAAATCAAAAATTCTAATCTAATTTTAAACAATTTATTATGACGAATTAATTATGTTCTTTTGCAAAATATAGTTTAGCAAATATAGCATAGCCATTTGGCGAAAGTAGAATAAACAAGTTGGTTACGACGAAATAATACACAACTTTTGAATGTACTATGTGCAGGACAACTTTTTATTATACAAGTTTATATCGCGCAAACTATGCAAACTTACATACGCATGCTAATCTGTCTTCATACAAAGAAATCGTTCACGTTCAGATATACACACGCACATCCACGCTTCCTGAACAAAGAGATCGTTCACACGAAATATTAAAGTATTTCTTTATTGTTGCTTAGGATATCCGTTCTACGGTGGCTATGGTCATTACCATGGTTAAGATGGACACAAAACAACGGCCTTCTTCTGGATTTTCTTTAAAATACCATATGAAGAATGAGCTTAATTAAAAAATGATATATGTTTTCTCTCTATTGTATCCTTTTGTCGCCAAGATTGATCCAACGTGAGAAGAACATATTCATGTAACGCTTGTGTCAAATTGTGCACGCAATATGTCTACGACAAAATTCTTTAAAAACAACGATAAAGTTTCTTAAAGAAATTATAAAAGTCACACAATGTTGCAAGATATATTCATATATTATAAATATAATACTATCAGGTATGAAGATATTAATATATTTTAAAAGAATACAATTGTACCTACATCGTTAAAAAGAATAAATTTTACCATTGTCGTTTTCAGAATTTTAAATGGTAGTGGGCTTCGTTAGCAATTATTATTGTCATAAAAACTTTCATATTACTGATAAGATAAATAAACGAATAACTCAACATGCCTCGATAATTCACGAGAATTCAATTCAATGATCGTTTCTTTGTTTTTAAAATTGCGAAAGGCATTGTCTTCGTCAGCCGAGTAGATCATCTTTACAAATGTTTATGCAAAGTGCGACAGGTGCGACCAATGCGATCATGAAGTTTCGAGTAGTCTCGAAGATATCCGCCTACGCACAAAGACAAAATATTCACGATACAAAGCTCTTTGTCTTCTTATTACAGGCCGCGATGGTCACACCTGTCTTCTTTGCTTTCGTCTTCTTCTTTTTCTTCTTACATCATGCTTACAACAGCCGAGGACTGACCATGTAACATCACACGCCTCATCATGCCTGCGGCTGCTCTTTCAGTACCTTTGATATTTCATAGGAAACGTAAATTCGTGTCGAATTATATTCAGGTTTTTCACTCGATTCGTACTTTTACGAATGAGGACGACATCACGAAATGTTGTAAAGTATTTACGGTCTAATGCAAATTTACAATTATCAACGATTTATAACTCTTGCTATTTAATATTAATTAAATGTATTAATTTATTCCAGAACCAATTATTTTTCATACACAATAAGAAAAGGTCAATCAAAATAGTTCCATAAAACAATAACCAAATAATGAATAATTAAAAAATCATTATGTTTTCTTGTAAACACAGAATGCTTGATAATATTTGCTGTAATTGTTGCTTGATACTAAAAATAACAGTAGTGCCATTAATAATGTAACAATTCGATTAATAATTCACAACTGGCTCCTAAAGATAACTAGTAAATTCAAGATTTAGCTGATAAATGCATATAGTGTCTGATACTATTCTAGGAATTAAAAGCCAAGAATTCGCCGAGCGATATTCTAATCATGAGAAGTGACTTGTAACATTCTCCATTCTACCTCAAGGATGTAGCCAAGGTTACCGAATTTCAACTGTAAAAATCTCCCGTCTTGAAAGAACGAGTTTATTCGATCGCAATGCCGCAGAAACATTTTCAACCATGTAACCTAAACGTTTGTTAGCTGAAAAGAAGAACTAGACTTGTCTCTTCGGTTTTGGCAATTATAACTTTAAATAATTCTAGATGAATAATTTATCGAGTTTTGCTTCTCGCGGCAAAATTTTGTTTTGCAACGCTTGTTAATATTTTCTTTGGAATAACCGATAGAAACTCAATCGATGAGGCATACGCAGAATTCATAAAGTGACCTTGATGGATAATTTATGGAGATATGAAGATAAGTAAAATATCTGATACACGGCACGTCGATGGTGGTTATTACGGCGGTTAACGCGTCGCCTGCCACAAACAACTCCGGCGCCCTCGTGACATTTAAATGGCGAAAATTTTGTCCACGAGGCCATGAGTGCATTATCGCTATCATTTTGTTCCTTGCAATACTGAATATTACCAACGAAGCTATCCGAAAACGTTCGCAGTTAAGGATCTGTTTAGAAATTTCTTATGATACGGGCAGATCGCAGTAAATTTGGAAATCAATTAATTATGATCAAGCCTAATTAATAGAGAAAATTACCAGCAAGCTTCCGCTCATGTTATCTCGCGTGTCTGCTTAGAACGCATTCAATGCATTCCTGGTGCATCACTCCTGAGAAATGGGAGCTATCTCGGCCACTAGTATGAAGCGTTTACAACAAACTGTCATTATCATCGTATTAACGAGTCGATCAGATTGGAATTGTTACATTAGTAAATGAGGAAATACAATAAATGTTTAGACAAAATTTTAGTCGAAAATATGACTGATAATAATACACTTTTGCATTTTGTATTTGCTCATCTTACTATAATTTGATAACACCGTACTTTTGTCTACAATTATATATAATTGCTGACATTTTTACACTCTCATTACGTTTAATCGATCCAATGTGTGATATTAATAATGATAGAAACTACATTTCAGATCGCTATCTCATACAACGTGTTTATATCGCTCCTCGAAGCGCAACAGAATTAATAAGTTTTCAAGGAATAATAATGCGAGCCCCTCGACTGTGAATCTTCAACGGGAGGCTGCAGAAAATCTAAAATCCAACAACGAAACGCTACACTGCCGCGTGCATTCCTAATGAATTGGGAAATAATATGCGAACATTCTGCAACGTAGTTAATGCATTAACTAGCGAGGCGCTGAATATAGTAAAAATTTGTTACTTCATAATGCTTGTTATTACTTCATAAGTATAATAGCGGCTGACGATGAGGGTAGTGCCGTTAAAGTTTCTTTCTCCAATACAAGTTCCTAGTCCTTTCGCCAATATGAGATCATTTAATCTCATAATTATTATAAAACCAAAATTCTACGCGGAACGCGAATTGATAAAGATTAAGAAAATCAAATTTTGTAGACGCTTTCGGCGGAGACTAGAAGAATCCTGTTGTAAGGTTCAATTGATTTACGATATGGCTATATTTACTTAAAGGTTTAATATTTTTTTCGGTTATCTAAAAAAATGCATTAGTAACGAACTGGCGACGTCCTTCGGGATTTCCGAATTCCAATGACTCCAAGAATGTGGAAGGTTATATACGCAATAATTTAAATGCAAATACATGGTAATGCCTACATATTCGTTGCATATTCGTTGTATCTGAAATTGTTTTTACTTCTATATTTTTGTTTTTGAAATGTTCTTTGATACGTGTATATTTTTTTATTTACACATGTGTGTTTCTGTTTTTATTTTATTTAATACAGAAAGATTTTATGCATCTGAGGATTAATATATCCTTAAACTTTTACGTTTCTCAGGGACGCGAGAGCCGCTTTTGATCAAGACATGAGCCGACAACATTTATTACGGATGTGTTAATGAGAATCAAATTTTTATTCAAATTCTTAGAAACTTATGAAATCTATGGTTCTGAAAGACGGCCTCACTACGAAATTATGAAATTCACAGTTCATGAACGAGACGGAAAGTGAATTATTCTATTTCCCAAGGTCGCCAATTAATAGTAATATGAAGACGTAGATACGCTGCAATAAACCTTGCAGGTAGCGTCAAGAAAATTTTTTCAGGAGGTGATAATGCTTTATGTCAGGTCCTCTTTTGCAGACCAAGCGGGTAGACAAATTTATATCAGCTCTGAACATTCTGTTTAGGAATTGTCTGCCTTTTTATAGCACAGTGTAAACCGATCGGCTATAAAATTAAAGTTTCATCAGCTATAAATTAAAACATAAAATTATAAAAGATATCCAACACTCACTGTTAGCCAGAGCTTGGTATTTTTTTTTAAAGATATAGTTACAGATACTATCTGTATCTGTACCTTTCTCCGAAAAAATAATTGCATTTTGTGTGTATCTATATCTAAATCTTCAAGGAATGTAACTTGTATCTGTATCTCTTCACTGAATCCATTGAAAATTTCTCTTCTATCTGTGTCTTTGAAGGAAAAGGCAAGATACCAAGCTCTGCTGTTAGCATCACGTATACGCAAACTCTCAAGTGTGTCGAAATTTTCACTCTCGTATGACCAATTCGTACATAGCGTTTCGTACCACGAAACAAAGACTATTTACATCCTTGTTGATAAACCGATAAGATAATCGCAACTTTGTCATAATCAATGTTAATGAATTCGAGTTTCGAAGCTGAACAAAAGTGACTGGTGGTAATGTAACATTTACGGCGTTAAGTCAAGTTTTATCACAAATCATTAATGCATTCGATGACGAAAGAAACGCACCTTAATTGCAAAAAGGAACCGCATTGCCTAAATACCGATCAAACTTAATTGGAAACTGTAATAAATTTGCGAAAGTGCTTTAATTTTTGACGAAATAATTTTCTTTTTAATATACAGCTGTTTCGTCGTTTAGAAACCGATTTTCCTATTCTGTCGAGAGTATCCCTTTAACGGCTTATCTGGCAGAAACGGTGAGACAAGCGAAGGTCGCGCGGGCAGCGATCACGACCTTTTCTGTGGTCGAGCCCCTTCATTCAAGAACTAAATACTAAGCGAAAGGTTAGCTTCACGAGAAGCGAACTTCATTCATGGACAATTACAACGTCGCGTCGAGGGACTTATTTGCAGTTCGCGGTCAGATCGAGAGGCATACAAAAGTGCGGATGTAAGAGCGTCAATCAGGAAGAACATTTCAATTAGTCCTAATGAGGGTCAGCAGCGGCGATCTGAGGTCGTGCCGAACATGATTTTGACCTTTGTGTGATTACATACTAAGACGTCGAATGCAGTGAGAACGGACGAGAAAATTGCGATCTTCGAAATCTAGATGAAAATATCAAAATACGTTTTGTATTTTCAGCATACAAATTTATTTATTTATTTAATTATAATTAACGATTTCTCTCACAGTTACGATTCGGGGAAAATTTACAGGTGGAAATCTTTTTCTCACGCGCGATCGGCACCCACGCCTCTGAAATCATCGCGCGTGGCGAGTTAACTTGCAATCGGAGAAATTTCTCACGCGACGAGTGGAGGATGCAATCCTTTTTATTCGCGATCGTATTTAGCCCGTCTGCATTAAAAATTCATTAGGCTTTACAATCGCTTATTCGTATCTGAGGTGATTTCTATTTCAAGTGCAATAAAATTAACCTTTTGAATAATAGTGATAAAGATATAAAGACGATTGCTACGAACGAGGAAAAATGTAGAAAGTATTTATAGTTTGAAATAGTTTTAGAAAATAATATGAAATAAGAAGAGAAAAACAGAATTTCGTAATATTCTATTTTTTTAATTACGCTTAACAGTTGCGCAACAAGCAGCTTTTACTTAACATAGAGTCTGGGAAAACCTTTCAAAAGTCAAAAGTCTTTTGCATTTGGAGATATACTTTTTTTGCGGGATGAATATTCCAGTAATAAATCTGACGACGGTGATATGTATTTCTGTTTTTTAACGTGTCGACTCGTCCGGACGTTGCAAATATTATAACGACAGAGAAGAAATAAATCGATAGTTGGAAGACATTCCGTCTCTGTCGCCAAGATGATTGCATCTTTATGTAATGTAGCATTCCGTGGAAACTAAATCTTTGAGACTTTTGTTAACTCTTAATTGTCGCTTTGTACATACGTGCATAAGTTAGAGATAAGAAATAATTAATTTAAAATAATTTGATAATTATATGCAAGCAATGAAAAGGAATTGGTATCTAGTAAAATGTTATTGCAATCGAAGTTAATCTCAAATGTATAAAGTAAAAGGGTCCAAGAGTACACATTCTAAAAAAATATATATATATTTCGAATTGATTCGTCTTCTCAAAAATTATATGCTGAATCATTTATAATTTTCAGACGCCGCAATTGACTGCCACCTTGAAACAAACGAGAAGAGTGCACAGACTGAAGATTTCTCTAGACGAATACTATTCCCGTTAGTAAATAACTTAGGCGCTTATTCTAAGTACTTGCGCCACTGGCACTAAGTTCTTATTGGACTCCGCGATAGCTGGTGCATCGCCACGCTCAATGCAAGTTCGCGTAATGTTTGCTATGACCTGTTGACGATCGTTCGAGCATCATTGTGTCTAAGCGTCTCGAGCCCGTTGACGAGTTTACATGACTCAAGAAGAAAAATTAATGCCTCCTCTTTGCGCAATGAAAATCTGTCGGCTTTTTTCGCCACTTTTTTCCCCGCATAAGTGAAAAGTCGCCGTCGTGTGAAATGCGCGTCTTGCATTCAAATGCACGCCACTTGTGACTTAACACGCGAGATCAACTAAAATTAATTGAAGAAATTACATTAATGACTGCAGATGAAATATGTTTTACGTAAAAGTTTTTATGGTAACAACTTTATCTTATTTATACGATTTTATGTTATTGCAGGATCTGAAAAAGAGATATACAATAAAAATGGAAAAAAATGGAAGCAAAAGAATCTAAGCTAATGCATCAAATAACTTTTAGTCCACGACTAGAAGCAGTTACGGTCTTAATGCCTTTACGATGAGAGAAATTAGCGGGTGAACATCAAAATTCTGCCAACAGCTTTCGTCGTGCCGGCAGTTGTAAATCGATTAGTCTTACATCACGCGCAGTTTATAATACTCTTGCGCAGTATTCAAATGTCGACAATACCAAAATCCACAAGTTGTAAATACGGTCCGTGAAATTTGCGCAAAGCGCTCGTCACCCTCGCTTTACGACGGCAATTAAATTCGATCGTGTGTGCCGGGCTTCCTGCGTTACGTTATATCGACGAAATCGATAGAGGCGCCTTCGACAGACGCACGGTAGACATTTACGATGGCAAAGACTGTTACAAGCCTTCCCAGGTTATTCAGTCGCTTATCCACACGATATTTATCGCCACTTTATCCTTAAAGCTTAAAAACGTACGAAGAAAGCAGTTGCATAACAAAACCGTGAACTTTATCGTCGCGTTAACATAATAATTATTGATTATAACTTTTTGTTGCTTAATTATGTAGCAAAGTAAAAATATAAAACAAAACCTGGTCCCGTTGATATTTAAATATATACGTACGTCACTCTTGGTGGATCATAGTGCGGTGTCTTCTCGTACAAAAGAATGCAGGAAAGGCGTGGCAATGCTGTAATAGATTATACAGTTCAATGACGTTTGATAAAGCTTAATTTATTTCTCTATTAATTTAATAGCGACAAGCGTACGTTTTATATTAAACTCTAAATAACGTTCTGGGCAACAAATTCCATTGGTCTTGTAGGTCCGATTTCACCAACGTCGCTTAACTTTGATCTTACAATTAGTTTAATTCATTCTTCGCCTCTTGTTTCTTTTGAAAGAAAAAAGAATGTTAGTGAAACGAGCGATGTTTGTGAAACCAGGCCTCAATGAAGCTAATCTACATAAAAAGATAACTGATAAGTGCAATGTTGTGTTATGACAATCAATTAAATTTTTAACTCAATTTAAACTCAATTATAAACACGAAACTTGCATACACTTTTTAACATACGCACTTATTTGGCTTGTGGCTTGTGCCACGAGATTAAGGACACCGCGAGGTTTGTTTCAGAGAAACATCGTTTGTCTTACTACCGAATCCATGTGTTCTTTTTTATTTTATGTCCACGAGAAATGCATATGCCCCAGTAGCTGACACGGACGCGATATCAGCATTCCTCTTTTTTGATTGCGCGAATGTCCTTGAGTCTCTCGAAAACCATCATCTCCGAACGTCTGCCGGCTCGCTCTGAGATCAGGGACGAATACAGAGTCCTTCGGCTATCGCCATTCAGCATCCATCGTCCGTTCGGTCGGACCTTTGGAATATCGCGGAATATGGCTCCGTCCTTCTCACGAGATGCTCACTCTCACTTTCTCTCTCTCTTTCTTCCCCTCTGTACTTCTCCGGCTCTTTCTCTCCCTCTACCTTTCCAGTCCAACCCCCACCCGCGTACGTGCATGGAAGTAGAAGAATTACAGCATCCTCCCGCGGACGTCTCGCGCTTCGCAATAATCGTCATGGACCGAACATTCTGTCCTCCCCACCAGTCAATCAGGTAAATCCTATAAATGCTCTTGGTCGTCCGCGAACGAAGAAGTCACCTCCCGGGACGCTCGCGCTCTCCCGAGTGAGGTATGTGTTCGTTTTGAAGTGTTCGTTTATTTTGGTCATCTTCATCGGTGATCAGCGCAGCGTTATAACCATGGTAAGTAGCAGTGCATCACGAATCGTGGACGCAAAGTGACGTGAGAAAAAATGGGCGCGAACAGGGGTGGGTGGTGTGCTCAGCGCGCGAAGGGGGTTGCGCCAGTCCCTTTACCGTCGGCGAGTGTTCTTGAGAAGTGAGATACAAGTGAACGAAACTGGTGGAAAATAGCTGCTATTCGAGAACCGAGATCGAGAAATTGAACTTTACACGATACACCCTTCACCATTCATCGATCTTTCACGCCAATGTCCTGAAGTTCTTAGGAATCCTCTTCTCGTGCACGTCGCAATAATGTTACATCCCGTGACAGAGGTGGAAACAGAACATGTAAAAAGCAGAAGTGATGATAATCTCCTAGTCAAATTTTAAAAAGTGATAGAAATCGACATTTGTAAAAAAAGAAAACGTAGTCGTAAACGTATAACAAGTGTAACTTATGCAAAGTGATATTCTCGATTTTCGCTTGGTGAACAAAATCACCTTTTATTTGGCATTTTTTGTATAAAATTCTCAGCTCAATTATTATTTAATATTTAATATTAATATTAAATGTATTTTATATCAAACTCTTTCGATTTTCATAGAGAAAAATTCTTTAAGAAAGTTTTAAGATACTACCGAGTCCGGTGTGTCGTTATGTAAGTTTTTTTATGAGATATATTTTGCATATATTTTAGCTTTAAAGTTCCAATTTGGTCATGGTGCAATAACGTAAAGAATTCATGGTAGAAAGTATCGAGCTCGGCGAATGCAACGGCGATAATTTATTCCGCATGCATTTTCGTGACAATGGCGAGAACACCCGGTCGCGCCTTGGATTTTCGACTCTTCCGAGTATTAACGCCCGCCATGCGCACTTTCCTTTCTGTAAAGTGGCGTTTTCGTCGGTGAGCCTGTCGTTTGGTATTTACACATAAACCCAATCTTCTCGCAGGAATTAATAGCGAGACAGCCAGCGGTTGCAAATGTCAAGGGTTATTACTGTTCCTCAACCTAAAATCGGTCTTGCAAGACAATATGGTAAAAGAATATGTATTCTTTTAGTGCTATAAAAAATACCTTTTTGTCAGAAAACATATAAGCTATAACTTCAGATATAAGCTAAAAGTTTGAAGTCATTGTGTACAAGTGAGAAAAGAATGCAGTAGCCAGACTGAAAATTATCTAAGGAAATAGATTGAAATAATTTCTGAGAATTTAGAAAAGAAGAAAGATTTATATCAAGTCATCAAAGTGTTAAAGTTAAACCCCGAAATATTGTTTCTTCGTTTCTCTGTAATTTGAAATCTGACCATTAATTTAATCTATTTATAATTTATATTATGTTGCGGATTAAATAAATAATTTACTCATAAAAAATTAGTCAATATGTTAATATATTACATTGCAGAAGATGTTTCGATCTCGAGAATATTTTAAACTGTGATTTTAACTGCAGGAATTTAGAAATTAACACATTCGACTAGCAAGTTTTTTTATTTAGAAGATTAAATTTTATTAAATGTGAAGCTTATATTCTCTTCACGTAAAATGATTTTAATGCATAAAATTTCTGTAGAATACCATTCACTGACTAATCCGTTAACTTGTTCACATTTGTTTCTGTAAAAATGATTTTAGACTATCATATTCTCCGTCTTCGTGACTTCTAAAAGCATTCTGAAGTAGAAGACGCTGTTATTAATCTTTTTTCCTGTAAGATATATTAGTCACGAGCTGGTGAATTAGTTAGCTGGTGAATTAATTTTATAGCGATCCTGCACCGATAGCGTAGATACGAGATCACAGAGGGAGACCGAAAGATAATGTACCAGTATTAGCAATTTATGTAATATCTACCTGCACATTTCTTCAAAATTTAGTCGATCGAGTTAAAAATGCCTAATTCTTGCTTAATGCGTGGATTAAAATGGGAACGATCACGTAACGAAGTAGATTTTCGTCCGGTAAAGGTCAATCGCGCAGTTCTCTGCGCGTAAAAAGTTACACGCCAACAAACTGCTCGGTTCGCGTGCCATTAGAGGTCTCGAGGATCTCATGGCGTAATACAACCGTGTCTTCTGTTCGGCATCAAATAAGGCACAGTTACAAGACCTATACAAGACCTCTCATCAGTTCACTGCCCAGCACACCCTATGCAAATTAAGCGAACTGAATACAAAAGATACGTAGATCGGCAGTAGTCTTTCGGCGATCTTAATCGCTTTCATTTGTCCTCACTTTTCTCATTCATTTCTGTGCTTTAGAACGCAACACAGAACTCCAACATCGCGTGCTTATTGTTTATACACTACTTTATCATAATTTAATTAATTAATTTAATTAAAAATCCATTTTAATTGAGATTTTCGTTACGGAGTACTTTAATTAACTCTTCGAAAAATTCTTGTCATTAACATTACAGTTTTAAATTCCACAACTTCATGTACATATGTGATGTTGATAAATTTCTATTACTTACATTTACAATAACATGCGTAACATCTTTTCTGTGACACTCCCTCGTTAGCTAATCAAATGCGGTACAGTCTCTCGATTACATATAGCCTGGACGTTAACGAGCAACTATCGACGCGAGTAGTAGGGTTAGAGAAATTGTCGTGCAATAGTTTTGCACCAACACGATGCATAATTGAAATTCTTGCTCAAGTCAACCGAGGGTTAAAGATCGGCGTACGATTAGAACTTGCATAACATATAATTAATTTGTGTTGTCGTTAAGCTTGTAGATAAATTTTTATGTAGTCATAAAAATCGATGTAATCGATTCGGTGACAAAGTAATTCTACAATTATATTTGTGATATTTGCATACAGAAATTATGAATGAGACGTAGATATGTAGTGACGATCTTTACGTCATTGGCACAGTTCAATGCGGTACAAGAACGTCACACTTTAACGGGACACTCATCAGCATTTAATACATGACATAATGGAAACGCATATTCATTCGTTAACTTATACAAAACCACGCGAGTTTCACGTGAAAGATTTTTGCATTATGAGAAATATATTGATACTTTTCAATTAATGTAATACTATAATAGCTACGTAAACAGCCACGTAACCTTTTATAATTAAATAAATATATCTTTCAATTTTTCAGAATATTAATTAAATGTAGAAAAATTAATTTAAGAACGTGTTAAAAGGCAATTTATTAAAATTACAATTACGCAGAAATACGTTTTGATAATTATTATAAATAATTTAAAGAAATTAAGTTAATTCATTGTACACAATTAAAAAATCATACGGAATAAATAACGTTGTTTTATTTATAAAATATATATTTCAAGTTATAATCTACACGATTAATTGATTATGGTACTAATTGCTCTTGCAACGCAATAGTAACTTTCACTGATCTACCCGTTGCCTAGCATCCATTCGGGTTGAATGTCAATGACTGCGCATCGTTAGCGATCCGCAAAAATGTCGTAATTACTGCCGAAGCATGTGCTTGGCGTGTTACGCAAACTGATCTTCCACCACGGGAAGATTTTTTTTTCTAAATCCCCAGATTATCGCCCGTCGACAGAATGATGAATCGTCGTGTTGATTCGCTACGACCGAGAATCGTGTCGAAGGGTTTCAATTCGGTATCTTCGCGTGTTACTCCGTTCAATTGCCATCACGGAATGACTATTCAATTTCTGAACCATCAGAGCTGGCATGTGTTACGAATAATGCAAAGAATAAGTATAGTAACGGGTATTGAATGATATTTTCATAATTTTGTGTAAAATTTACAGTTGCTTTTACTATCCTTAAAATTGATCTCTTTTGATCTTGCATTTGTTTCTTGTGAAGTAAAAATTATTTTGAGCTATTTCGGGAATAATTTCCTTAAAAGTCAATCACCCTAGTATAAAGAAAAGTGCACTATTACAAGATTTGTAAACAGTGTAATTTAATAGAAATTATTTATTATATAATTAAATCAAGAAGTAAATTTGTGCATCTTTGCATTTTTCATATCGATAGTGTTACTGATAATTGTTGAGCAAATACAAGTTTGTATAGATTGCGAGAGCGGTCGTTTTAGATAACTAATTGACGATTTATAATCGTCAATACAAATTAATTAAATCCTTGGGACTCCGATGGATCGTGATAATTTCGAAATTAATACGACAGTCATATTTATGGCTCGTCGCCACATCGTATCTCGACAGCGTTAAGTAACGTGTTAACATAGAAATGCCGGCATTATGTCGATAGCTGGCCACAAAGACGAGAGAACTCTTGATGTCACTCGGCCGTTTTGGTTGCGACCTCCCAAAAATAAACGTACTTCTATAGTATTATATTATTCACTCAGCAAAAATGTGTGCGTTCATCCAAATACATTTCGCAAGTCTCTTCGGAGGTCTTCTGGTCGTCTATCGATCGAACAAGATATTCGATCTGTCTTCATTCCGCTGTTGTCAAAAGAAACTAATTGATATCTACGCCCATTAAGTGAGAATCATTGGAATTAATTAAATTGAAAGTGTTTTAAAAGGTGCCATTGAAGAGCCTACGTCTTCTTCAAGGCTATTGCGATTTTTTAAAAATTTATACGTTTCTAAATTTATAAGTTTAAGTCATAAGTTACGCAATAAAAATTCTCGATACTCATATAATTCTTGGTAAGAATATAATATTCTAAACATTTTGAAAAAGTTTTTACATCTAAGGATTAAGGTTATTTTGAAATTATAATATAAAAATGTATAATATTTGTGTTCAAGTGTTTATAATATAAGAATTTGCATATGCAGATATTATTGACGGTTTCGTAATTACATATTTTAAGACTCGGTATTTCAGATACTTGCATTGCCCAAGAACATTTTTCAAGACTGTGAAATTTTATCTGTGGTTGAATTGCATTCGTTTTAAATTAATTCTTTCGGTGCCACCTTATTTTCACGCATAATTTTTTTATTGTTCACAAAATGTCCTTTTAAAGTTCAACCACATGGTAAAAGGATGACCGAAAATGCCAGG